TAAGTAGCAATTTACATTAAAAAAATAAGAAAAACATTACTTTGGGGAGACTAAATAACAAATAAGCCTACAGCCATTGTTGTTTTGATTAACAATACAGCCATTTAGATGAAGAAAAAAAACTATATAGAGAGCTGTGGACTTTTAGATATTTATTTTTCAACTACCATTTTCATTGCATGTTGTAAATCAAAATGCAAATGGCATAAGATCATCCCATTTCATAATATATCACATTAGAATATTAGAGAATATTCTAGAAATCATCAGAAATAATTCTGAATTAAGAACCTGAACAGCCTATACAATTATAAAAACCAAATGTAAATATAATCACTTAAAAGAGATGGTATTCCTATTCCTAGCCCTGACTACGTCAATACCAAGATTAGAAGATACTGGAAAATGTGATTAGTAATACTTTTCCTTACAGTATCCTGTGCCTGCCCTGGAGGGCATATTTTCAAATATTAAAGTTAGTGTTGTTAGAATCGGTTTAATAAAATAACATTTTCTTAATAGAAACAATATTCTTATGATACTTGGAACATCTAAGTTTATAAGGAAAAATGTATAAAGTAAGCAATTTCTTCATAGACACCTCCAGTTTATATATTTTACAAATAGGCCTTTAACTTGAAGTTCAGTTACTTCAAGAAAAGTGTAACACTTAGAAGGCTTGTGAGGCCAACACCTAGTGTGTTACTGATCCTATAGCAGGGCTGTGCATCATGTGGTTCACAATTGAATTTCAAAATTTTAGCAGTTTACATTAGAAAACTGTTACCTAACAACTAAGCATATACAAACTCATATACATACTTAAATTGGTATGGTGGTGTATGTGTGCGTGCGTGTATGTGTTTTAGTCCTCAAGATGAAGTTAAATATAGACTTTGATTACCCTGCAATGAATTTAAAACACATTCTGTATGCTTAAACTTTGAGTGTGTTGGCTGTGAAATGTGTACGTATATAAAGAAGATACCTACTAAACCCACCTTAATCATAAAGGAAAATTATTTTTTGTTAGAATTGCTTATTAAATAGGCATTGTTTATATTGTGGTTTATAATTTCAAATATAATTTGGGGTTATGGTCCTATTCAGTAAGAGAATGAAAGATATCCATGAGTTAAAGATATAAGAACAAAACTAAAAATTTCAAATCTAACAATTCAGAAAATGGAGGCAGTAAATGACCTCTTTTATGTTTTACAATATTTTCATGTTATTTACAGTTAATGCTGAAATAATTCTCAAGTGCAGGAATATAAATGTTAAGTGGTTTTATGATTCCAAGCTGATATATTTCACCTGTTAAAAATTATGCTGCTCAATTAGCATTAGAGGCCTTATGTTTGGTAATTACAAGTGTCTGGGCTATTGTGCGTCTCTATGTATGTGTGTGCTTTGTTCCAGTTTCTTGATTCAAATTATCTATGTATAATTGTATGAAATATTTAAATAGCAAAGAAGTCAAAGAAGATTGTTAAATATCCAACAAGAATCATAAATACCTTTATATGTATTTAAAAACTGTTGGGCTGTTTTGAACATGATTATGCTGGTCTGTCTGCCTTTTAGCCTGACTCCTTCACTCTTGTGTGTGGAAGTCTATTAGAAACTTTCAATAAGCTAAGCAATGTTGTATCTTGCAAAAAAGCCTCCACTCTGAGAAACAGGGCCTTACAGAGTAGGAATGTTTTCATACTGGGACTATTGAAATTTTGCAGATGTGTGCATCTGTTCCATTTAAGGTGCCCTTAAATGTGTTGAATGTAATGTGTTGAATGTTTATGTGTAATGGCTAAAGTATCTATATGTATGTGCATAAAACTGTCACAAGATGTATTCTCAGGAATACTATTACCTGGAGTTTGAAAGGAATAACTATTAAAAAAAAAAAGTTGGGGAAGATTAGAAAAAAGTTCAAGATAAATATTCAAAATATTATTAAGTACATGACTAAAAGCTAATTACTACATATGATAAATACAGTGTTGGTAATAGTAGATCATTTCTTTTAAGCCATGATGCTTAATGATATTTATCTTATTCAGAGGAAAAACAAAAAAGGTACCCACTTCCCATGTAGAAAAAATTAGACTCCACAAAGAAGTTGCTTCTTCTGAAATTAACTTTTGAGAGACCTTGGAATAAACCATGTGTTATCCATGATAGTATGACTCAGATGCAATTAAAACAGTTTAAATCCTGGATATAGGATCTCCTATAGCAAAACATTTTACTTTCATTTTTCAGTATTTGCTGCTTTTTAGATTTCTATTAGATAAGCTATGTCATTTTTCTGAAAAAGAAACTGAGTTATTGAGTGCATTAAGACAAGGCACTTAGAACTACAGTGTCAAAATCAAAAGGCATAAATGGGCATGGCAGTGCTGGTGGAAAAATCTGTGGTACTAGTGATCTGGTTAGGGCTTGTTGCACAGGCTGGGAGTAACTGGTTTGCTCTTTCAAGCCTCCAAGAGTACCTTAAACAAGGTGATAGCTCCTCTCTTCTTTAGCATTATATTCCTTTAGTCAACAAAGAACTTTCTCCACTCTGCTGCCCACCTCTGAGAGTATCTAAGATGAGAATACAGGGAAGAAAGGGTCATAAATGAATAGAATTATAGTCAAAAACATGAATTAAATATCCTTCCTCAAGTTATAAAGGATACTTTAATAGAACAGTCTCCAGAATTTGCTGCTATCACACCAAGTCATGCTGTTGCCCTATGACCTCACTCTTCCAATTCCATGACCTTGTCTTGCTAGGGGGTAAAAAGTCCCATTTCTTTTACTTTAGTGGGTTTCAACTGCAGCATTTCAGAAACAAGTTTTGGTTTGACACTCAGGAGAATAAAAACAAGTTGAGGGCAGAATGTATTTGGAAAAGCTTAAGACAAATTTACTTATATTATTTTATGATCATTTAGGATTACAGATCAATTTACCTCCATAAATCTTTGAATAGTCACTGTGACCACAGGATGAAAATCCTGTATTAGCCATTTTATAGGTTAAAACAAAAGATTGACTACACAGCCGACTTCCCTCAGATAACTATAAAGTCTATTATGAACATTGAATGACCAAAGAACATGGAAAAAATACATATGAATAAATACTGAAATGTTTATGAAAGATATTTATGAAAGATATTAAGACTTCTGTGTTTAGGTATGCACATATAATAAAATACATCTAAAAACATTTAAGATGCCTGTTTCATTTCTTAATGTAGGGAATAGGTTGACTCATTCAGGAAGATGTTCATTTTGGATCCCTGGGGTGTGCCTTTGTTAATGCCTTGCTGTCCATCCTCAACCTCCCCAGTCTGGCCTGAGGTCACGACCATCCAGTTAGACACCTCCAATACACTCCCTGTCACCCCTTCCAACAAACTGAGCTCTACTCATGCTTTCCAAATCTACCTTTCAAAATAAAAATAAACTTCTCTGCCCAGGCTTTGACCTACTGGAATAACTGGTAGATTTCCCAGTGGGATTGTTAAAGATCTGGTTGTCCTCACAATGTGGCCAGAAACACCACGTGGTCCAAGTTACCACTTCCGTCTTTTATACAAAGTGCTCTATTCTGACCCCTTAAGGATTGTTCTTGCTAAGTCCATTTTTTCCCCCTCATGTGGTTTTACTTCTGTCTCTTTTTCTGACCCTAGGCACATTTAGCATCAGGATACTCTTATCCATTTCTGAACTGTGAACAGCACACAAACCTATCACAATTTGTGAATGAGCACTGGAGAGGTGTAGGGGTCAAGGGAAAACTTCCCCTTCACCCTCCAAAGGTTTCCTGAACATCACTGACAAAAAGAAGTTTAACAGGATAAAAGGCATAACAACTTATTTGATCATAGTTTTACCTGACACTGGAGCCTTTAGAATGAAGACCCAAAGGTACAGGGGTGATTACCCATTTTTATACTTAGGTTCAACAAAGTATGGACAGCCATGTAGAAATACGATTGGACAAAATAGGCGATCTAATGCTAATAGTCTGACCCGGCCTTGGCCAGTCTAGTTTGGATTCCTGGCCTCTCTGTGCAGCATTCCCTTCTCCTGGATATGGGATAGAGCCTTCTCTAGAAGAGGAGTTTTATAACCTACAATTGAAGTAGGTCAAATAATTTTTGGCCAGTTTTTACACAGAAAGGTGGAGGAAAGCTAGAGTAATGCTTTTGGGTTTTATGGCTGGCTTCAAGAAAAGGGAGTTCTGGTTTCAATGACTCTTCTTAGGGAAGAGGGGCTCTAGTTTCTATGACCTGCCTCCTGGGAGAATGAGATTGAGAAGAGAGCAGGACATGAAGTCAGAGAAACACTGTTGCGTCTGAGGCCTTCACTTTGGACTATTATTTTCTGAGCCTCAACAGAGGGAAAAACAAAAAAGATAAGAAGGAGGAAGTGCAGAGGCAGAAAAAGAAGGTAATAATAACTACCATTTTGTACTGAGCACCAGGCATCCTGCTGGGCGCATTATCTGGCTTCACTCATTTAATACAACCCTAAAGCTGGGCACTGTCTTTACAGATGAGGAAACCGAAGTAAGAAGTGACTTGCCAGGTCACCCAGCTAGTATCTAGCAGAGTCAGGGTTCCTCCAGCTCAAAAGAAGAGCTCTAAGAGAAATACGAGGGAAGAAGGTTTTTAATTGTTGTTTTAAAGGGCCAGCATAGGCGCTGGAGAGGAAAGGAACGCATATGCAAAGGGTGGAGAAACAAAAGGTGATGTGAAGTCAAGAACCGAGGAGAAGGAACTGTAGGGGAAGCAAAGCGAAAAAAGGTTGAGAAACGCCTTGAGTGCTGCGAGGACTTTAAGATTCAAACAGCATAAGAAGGAAGGTCAGAACTAGGAACACGACTCCCGTGTGCCACGCCCCGCCCCAGGCGGACAGCAGAGACCGCCTCACGCCAGGAGGAGGCGGAACTTCCTCATCGCAGAGTCGCTGCTTCCCGTACAGTCCGGAAGCCTGTACGGAGAAGGGGCGGCGTCAAAACTGCCCGCCCAATCGGAGTGACGCTCTAGTCTTGCCGGGGGACTCGTGGGGTAACTTGCTCTGGGGAGCCAGCGGTATGGCGTCGGGCTGCAAGATTGGCCCGTCCATCCTCAACAGCGACCTGGCCAATTTAGGGGCCGAGTGCCTCCGGATGCTAGACTCTGGGGCCGATTATCTGCACCTGGATGTAATGGACGGGTAACTCCTCCGGGCTCCGGTCGGGCTTGCCGCGCGGGGGGCGGGATCAGCGCACCTTTATTTAGTGCCTGTTGGATGTACCGCGTCCCTGTGCCACCGAGCGCCTCACTCTGAACGCGATGCTAGGAGGGGAGTTGGGTAGGACCCCTGGAGGCTCTGGCAGGAGCAGAACTGTCGCGGCATCCTGGGTTGCGGCCGGATCCCAAACCTCAGTTCCTCCCCTCCCCCCCACGTAACGTGTGGTCTTCCATCACTTAGGACCCGGAAGCGACCTAAATCTTTAGGACGTTTCTTCACTTTCAGCTACAGAAACTGAGGCCCAAGGGGAGAAGCATGACTTGCCCAAGCTCATATAGCTAGTTAGTGGCAAAGCTGGGGAGACAGACTTCTGTAACGATTAAAGTTGGCACCTGCAGCGAGGTTCCCGAGTTCTGCCACTTGCTGGGTTACCTTGGACAAGCCACTAACCTCGTTGAGCTTCAGTTTCATAATCTGAAAAATGGAACTACTAATAGAACCTACCGCTTAGGCATCTTTGGAAGATGAAATGAGCGAGTATATGTAAGGTTTACAGTGCCTGGCGTATATTAAGTTCTCTGTAATTGTTAGTTACATCATTATTAAAAGTCTGATTTCCTATTTTCTCTTCAGGCACCCTGCTCTTCAGGGAGGTCAGTTTTTTGTAAGTAATTTTTAAGCACTGTAGATACAGCACATAATATTGTTTGGAATCAGGATATTAGTTTCTGAAGTTGGTGATAGAATGAGGAAACAACCCCACAGAAAATAGTAAGACTCCCTCAAGATTACAGAAGATTGTGACAGACTTGCAGCTTGGCCCTTCCTGGGTTTGCCAAGTAGTTCTCTGAGCCCCACTGTTAACTGACTATAAAAATCATAAATGCCATTATCTTGAATGGGGATGGAAAAATAAATTTATTTTAAATAGGTAAAAACCCTGTGTTTCCTCATTCAATTTGCAAATTGGTGTTATTTTCAAAAGGTGATGATTTCCTTTTCTTTTTAATGTTAATCTGACTTTGAAGAATTTTATCTTCCATTGCTCTATGTGGTTAAATGTATTGTTTCTCTTTTGCATTTTACTCAGTTACCTTAGGAGTCCACCCAACTGATAATGACAAAACTTTGACCATAGAGTACTAAGAATAGGCCAAATATGTAAAAAGTTTAGTAAATGTTCTCTCTCACAAAGGTTGGCCTTTAGTTGGCCATTATATGTAATTGTACTTATTTACTTCATTTTTAACACCTTTGCTTGAAAGCCTTAAACTGTCACAGGTAATACCCTGAGTGTGTACCTCAAAGATAAGTAGCTACATTTTTGTGCTAGAGTAAACACCTAGAGGGTCACAGGATGGAATAAGCTACATGTATATTTGTGAATCTGTTTGACACAGAAAGCAATTTGGTTTTAATTAAACTATGTTTGAGTAAGTTAATGGTTGGGGAAAGTAATTGTTTCAGTTCACCAGTCAGGATTATTAATGATAACCATAATAGCAATGTTTATGAGCACTTGACTATTTCCGTTCTGGTGTTTTTTTTGTGTGAATTAACTCACCCAGCCGTTTGAAATTGATGTTATTACCACCAGCATTTGACAGCGAGGAGTTGGGCACAGAGAGGTTAAGTCATCTGACAGTGGTCTCGTAAATAGTGGAGCCAGGGTTGGAAGCAATGCAGCAACTTGTGTTGTCTCAAATTAAATGCTTTCTGTGGGTCCTAGGTTTACAGGGAATGGTCTTTGGCCTCAAAAAAGCAACTAATAATTTGTATACTTATTTTTGTTAACTGTATACTTATTGTTATTAACTTATTTCATGTCTTTCCTGCTCCCCTGTAAGCTTCCTGAAAGCCAAGTTTTTTTTCTTTTTGCTCACCTATGTATTCTTTGCTGGAAAAGCACCATAAGGAGCTTAGTAATCATTGGCTGAATGAATGAATGGCTTAATCATAATAGGAGGAGTCTCTCAGGAGTCACTTTTGTCCCCTCGCAGTTCTATGGCAGACTGAGCTCAATAAGATAAATTGGATCCATAAAATGGATCAGAGTTTTGGGAACAAAAAAATTTAAAAAAAGTATTTGTTTTTTATTTATTCCTCTTCCCCTTTGCCAGGAGGTACTTTGGTTTGGAGAAACTGAATTCTGCATACACAATTTTAAAATTATTTCTCTTTTAATCTTCTCTACTTTCTGAGTTAAAAGCTGTTTTTCTTCCCCTTTTGCAAAGGAGAAAACCAGTGTAGGGAGGTTCAGCTTCTTCCCTGATGTCTCACCAGATTCAGCAGAGGCCGGCAGAGCTGGTGCCAGGGCCCCTACGTGATGTGCTGTGGTGTCTACTAGGCTAGGGCTATGAAAGTGCAGCCACAATGTGCCTTCCCTCTCAGGACTGCCTTCATGGTTTTTTTTCCTGGCCCCTTTTTAAAATCTCATCCAACATTACACTTTGGATGTGCTTGTTGTTTTCTAGTCTCCTCCCCACCGAGACCTCCAATTTCTCCCCTGGTTACAACTGAATTTCTTCATTTAGAAAGTCGGAAACCGGTTTGCGGAGTACTGTGGAAGATGGAGCACTAGCATGACTGGATATGTGAAACAAAGGACAAGCGGATTCTCTGGGGAAAAAAAAACTAGAAAGCATAAATACATCATGACAGGACAGTGACTAGAATGTGTTCATCCTGACCGTGGGAACAGAGCAAAGAATTTCTAAATTAGCAAACTAATTTCTAAATTAGCTACCAGGATTTAAAACTGGGACGATTTCACATTTCTGACTTTTGCTGCATTTCTCACTTTTGGGGGAAAAAACAAAAACAAAAAAACAAAGACTTCCAGCACTGGGTCCTCAGTCTTACAAGGTGACACGCGCTGGAGCTGACAGGGGCAGCGTCACCTTTAGTCATCCGGGATGTACTTCATTTGACGCCTTTCCCTATCTGCTCTGTTTTGCTCTTTGATGTTATCTACTAACCCCCAGCAGCATTTGAGTTTGTGATTCCTGATTCACAGGAAGATTGTTTTCTAGTTACAGTCCTGTACCTTTTATAGGAAGATTGTTTTCTAGTTACAGTCCTGTACCTTTTATAGCGACTGTAATCCTCCTCTTACCATCTTTGCCTTGTTGGGAGATAGGGTAAATGGCTTGATCTGTCTGCAGTAGATTGTGTTAGAATTATGTAAGTAAAGCTTAGGAGTGATGATGGAATGTGAGAGAGAAAATTGTATCGTTGTATTACAAAAATTACAGTGTAATTCCAGTGAGTCCCTGGGAGAAAGGGATACCTTTTTATTGTATTTTATTTCTTTCACAGTTAACCGACTCCAGAAAATAAAGGAAAAAGAGGCAGAATAAGATAATGATGAAGCATAATTTTTAATGAAGTTTCTCTCCATTAAAGTGAAATAGTTAAGTGTTTTCCAAGCTGGTCTGTTAACTCCCTCTGGCATTTATTAAAAAGTCAGATTCCTGGTCCTTTTTGGAGTCAGTAGGCTGAGGTGGAGACTGTAAATACATTAGAACTGCTCTCATCGTTACTGTTTGGTAAATTTGAGACACCCTGACTTCATGCTTAGGATTGTAGCCCTTTTTTGTTATGGCTCAGCATAGCCTTTGGGTTTCTTGAGACTACTGGTGCGTTTTTGTTCTTCTAGTATACTTTGTGAACTTAGCATTTAATTGATTTTCAGAAGCACAAATTAAGTCACATAACTGTAGGGATAGTATTTTTATACGTTTTGTTTAGGTTTTCCCAAAAAAGTAGAAGTGTATTTTTTTTTTGGTTCTCATGTTTACTCGGGAGGTGGATATTATACTTTTATTTTCATGATAAATGAAACCTACTGTTAAGACAACAAAACTATTTCCCAGACTACACAGCATAATGAAAGAACAGTATGTGAAATTCAAATCTTTAACTCCAGAGTTGTAAAGCCTTCAGTAGGCCTTACTGCCTGCTTCTGTGACCCTTATTTCAAGTTTTAAGTAAACACATACATCTTATCCACAGCCCTGACAATCATTGCTCAGGCAAATGGTAGAATCACTTTTTTAATGATAGAAATTAAACCTCCAAAGACCAAGGTGTTACTGAGTGAAAGTGTCTGTACCCATTCGCCTTACCTGTCCCTCTCCGATGTGTCCTGAATCCTTACCTCTCTCTCTTGAATCTCTTCTCCGCTAGACTTGTTCCCCATTTGTTTCGTTAGTTGTTGTTATAGGGACAGATGAGCATAGTAGTTAAGAGCCTGGACTTGGTAGCCGTAGTGCCTATGTGTAACTCCCGCCCCCAGCGCTTACTGGTTGTGTGACCTTGGGCCTCTGTTCCTCATCTGTAGGATACAGTTAATAAAAGTACCTACCTCATAGGGTTGTTGTGAGGTTTTAATGATTTAATATATAGAAAGTCTTTAGAACTGTGTGTGGCCCACGTATAAGTTTGGTTTTTATTAACAGTCATTCTACCTGTCATCTTAACTGTAAGGCCTTAAACATAGTTTGTATTTTAACTCCCCTCCCACACACCTAATCATTTAACGGATCCGATCAGTTTTGCCTGTTTTGTCATTCTTAGTGTTCCTTGCCACTTACCAAGTGGCAGTTGCAATTACCTACCCTGTTGTAATTTATTTCCCATTCTATCTTATTTATTAATATTTCTTGCTTTAAGATCTTACTTCATATTTCCAGCAGGACAAAAGTCCAGACAATGAGCTTGGCCTTTGACGCCTCTAATGTGATACTACCCACCTCCCATCTTTTTTTCACACTAGCCAAAGTTGGTCAATACCACTCTCCACGTCTTTGACTATAACTTGCTTGTTTCTGCTTTTGCTTCATTTTCAGCCTTTGTTTCTTTTCCCATCTTTATAAATCCTATTTTGTAAATCTCATGAACTTCTTTCTTAATGTTCTCTAATACTTGCTCTTATTTTATGTATATTTTGTCTATAATCACATGCTACCTGCCTGTTATTGTACAGCTTTTCTTGTAATCCTCATATAGGATAATACCTGCTGCTTTAACAAAGCCCAGATTTCAGTAGCGTAGTTCTAGTTTCTCCTCATGTAAGAGTTCAGTGTGAGTGTTCTTCCGTTCTGTGTCTCTTCCATTCTGTAAGGGCTTTGTTGGCAGAAGGGTAAAGTGGCAATAGGAAAAGAATTCCCCTTAACCTTCCGTACTCTGCAGTGACACACGTTACTTGCACTCACAGTCCAGTGGTGAGAGTTATTCACATAAGCCACTTGGATGTAAAGGGAACAGGGAACTGGGAACTGGGATGTAAAGTCACATGGGTCACTTGAATGTAAAGGGAACTGGGCATGAGAAGGTTTGACTGAGTTGACATCCCACTGACAACTATACGATAGCAGTAGGGTTGTGAGTTCTGGTGAGTCCTTAGCTGTCAATCTCTGTCATCTCTTGCCAGTGAGATGGTAAGCTCCTAGGAAAAACAGGAACTGGAGCATATATTTTTACAAAACAGTATTCTGAAGCACCTAGTATGGTACTTGCATATAGGAGATTTTATTATTATGATTATTGTTTTTATTTTTTTTTTTGAGACGGAGTCTTGCTCTGTTGCCCAGGCTGGAGCGCAGTGGCGCAATCTCGGCTCACTGCAACCTCCACCTCCTGGGTACAAGCGATTCTCCTGCCTCAGCCTCCCGAGTGTCTGGGATTACAGATGCACGCCACCATGCCCAGCGAATTTTTGTATTTTTAGTAGAGATGGAGTTTCACCATGTTGGCCAGGCTAGTCTTGAACACCTGCCCTTGTGATCCGCCCACCTCGTTCTCCCAAAGTGCTGGGATTACAGGTGTGAGCCACTGTGCCTGGCCCTGGTTTTGTTAAATATTTAAGTAAACTAGTGATAGAACAAAAAGATTAACTGGAGTAAGGTAAAGGATAAATACCGTGGGTCTGGTAGACTTGATTTGTTTTTGTTTTTGTTTTTGAGATAAGTCTCGCTTTGTTGCCCAGGCTGGAATACAGTGGCGCAATCTTGGCTCACTGCACTCTCCGTCTCCTAGGTTCAAACGTCTCCTAGGTTCAAACGATTCTCCTGCCTCAGCCTGCTGAGTAGCTGGGATTACAGGTGCATGCCACCACTCCCAGCTAATTTTTGTATTTTTAGTAGAGACAGGGTTTCACTGCGTTGGCCAGGCTGGTTTGAACTCCTGACCTCAAGTGATCTGCCTGCCTCAGCCTCCTGAAGTATTGGGGTTACAGGAATGAGCCACTGCACCCAGCTGGTAGACTTAATTTGAATCCACTTCACAAATTATTAACTGAGATACTTAAGGATATTATTTATCTTGTGCTCTTCAAAGGCGATAATAATAGCATCTACTCTATAAGGCTGTCGTGAAGATGAAGTGAAGTAAATTACAGTGGTTGGCATGTAGTAAACCCTCAGTGAAAGGTGGTCATTATTAATAAACACATCACGTTTCTTTATTAGTCATCTTTAAGGAAGTTTAAGGAAACTGTCATTTAATGCCCTGTGATAGAAGTGATTAGAAGAAGTCACAGGCCTCCTGAGACAGACTAGGATTCAGATCAATGTTAAGAGTCCAGAACTTACTAACTGGTGTGTGACTTGGGCAAGTCATAAAGCCTGAGGGTTTCTGATTTTGTCATCTCTCCATTTCTACCTGTTGTGGGTTGTGAATTACAGAGTCAAATCATTATGAAAATATATGTGACATGATTTGTTGAAATGTCAAGAAGACATTACCTGGTAAAACCAAAATGACCCAGTATTTTTAGTATTATTTAATACTGATGATTAAGTATTAAATTGAAAAACATTGCACACAATCCCCTCAACCCGTGTCAGAATTCATATTGAGAGAGATACAGAAACTGAATTGAAAACATTTTCAGAGTAGATTTTGTTTGTCTTGTAGGCATTTTGTTCCCAACATCACCTTTGGTCACCCTGTGGTAGAAAGCCTTCGAAAGCAGCTAGGCCAGGACCCTTTCTTTGGTAAGTGGGTGTTACGCCATCTGAAGCTGGATGTGTTGCTCAAGTAAAGGAAAACTGGATGGTTGATTTTTTTTAACTTCCAAGTTCATCTGGCACCCTTTCCCCAACTTCCCTATGCTGGGTCTTCATTGGCCTGACTCCAGTAACAAGCCAAACTTCTTCCTGCCTCTGGGCCTTGGCTCATCTGTGTGGAAAGGTAGTAGCTTGGCTGGCTGCCACATCTTTGGGCCTCAAGTCATTTGTCAGTTCCTCAGAGAGGCCTTTTTGAGCACCCTCTCCCAAATTAACCTTTATCCAATTGTCTTATCACCTGTTGGTTTTCCTCTGAGAACTTCCTTTGATCTGCGATGACTTTTATTAGACTGTAAACTCTTGAGGGCAGGGATTGAATCCACTTTATTTACTGTGGTTTTCCTAAAGCTAAGCATAGACATGATCAGGACTCAGTGTGATTGTTAAATGAGTTTATGAATCAGTTGATTTATGGTCCAGAAGCCATTTGTTTTGTGCAAATTGGAGCTTTCTACAAGTGGTGCCTAAATATTCCTCCAATGTCATAGTACAATGTAAATTAAGATTTTTAAGATTACTTAGTGGCCTACAAGTGATTTATATTAAGTTAGCAATGTCTCACCTGTCAGATCTCTTAAACATGAGAAATTGTACACGTTTTTTTAAGTGGTGTTACTTATTTTTTTCTTTTTTTAAAAAAAGAGACTGAGTTTTGCCATGTTGCCCAGGCTAGTCTCAAACTCCTGGGCTCAAGTAATCCACCTGCCTTGGCCTCCCAAAATGCTAGGATTACAGGCTTGAGCCACCAAGCCTAGCCTAAATAGTTTTTTAAATGTAACTTAGAATTTAGTAGACCTTAGATTCTTTTTAATCAGCATATTGTTGACCAGTTTTTTGAAGGACTCTGTGCTGTTCGCTATGGTAGTCATAAGCCACATGTAGCTACTAAAATTAAATAAACTTAAGTTCATGACCAGAATGGCCAATATGGTGAAACCCCGTCTCTACTAAAAATACAAAAATTAGCCAGGCATGGTGGCGCACGCCTATAATCCCAGCTACTCAGGAGGCTGAGGCATGAGAAGCTCTTGAACCTGGGAGGTGGAGATTGTAGTGAGCTGAGATCATTCCACTGCACTCCAGCCTGAGTGACAGTGTGAAACTCCATGTCAAAAAAAAAAAAATTTTTTTTTAAATTAAATTACATAAACTTAAAAATTCAGTTTCTTATTTACATTAATCGCGTTGCAAGTCTTCAGTCACATATTGTGCAGTGCAGCTATGGGACATTTCCAATATCACAGAAAATTCAGTTGGATACAGTCTTCAGCCTCTGTATAGGATCCATCTACTTTGAGTACACCAAAGAAAATGTACATTATTACCTCATTTATGTGGCATAAGGAAACAATGTTCCACCAATATGTTCACCATTTTGAAATTTCCAGATAATGGGATATAGTCCTCTTGATTATCTAAACTTTTTTTTAAGCCATAGTTAGCTTATATAGCAGATACCATGACTTCTCCTATGAATTAAGGTTGTTCTCGTGACCGTGAGAGGTGGATGAAATACAGAGCATTGTTTGCTCCCACTGTACAATCAATGGCCAGAATCCTCGCTTCTGGCTTTGTTGTGTGGATTTTTTTAATGCTTTCTTTTTTTTTTCCTTTTTGCTCCCTTTTATTTGGGCTCCCATTGTCACACCATACTATTGTCTATATCATTTCCTGTCAGTGCCTTTCCTTTTAACAATCCTGTGTTGCTGCCACCACACACAATCTGCTTTTTCTTGTTGTTTTTAATTTGTTGATAAACTTGCTAATTAATATTTCTAGAATTTTATCTGAAAGATAAATCCATTTACTATAATGTTTGGGTTTTGTGACCCTTGTTTTTCGGTTTTTGGCTTTTTGTTGTTGTTGTTGTTGTTGCTTTAAGAGACAGACTCTGTCTATTACCCAGGCAGGAATACAGTGATACAATCATAGCTCACTGCATCCTTGAACTCCTGGGCTCAAGCAGTCCTCCCGCCGCAGCTGTAGCTAGGACTGCAGGTGTGTGCCACCATACCTGGCTATTTTTATTTTTATTTTTATTTTTATTTTTTTACTTTTTGTAGAGATGGGATCTCCCTGTATTGCCCAGGCTGATCTTGAACACTTGGGCTCAAGCCATCCTCCTGCCTTGGCCTCCCAAAGTGTTGTGATTGTAGGTGTAAGTCACTGAGCCCAGCTACCTTTGTTTTTTATATTAAGGAACATTTGTTTAATTCTTGGATTTTGGTTGTTGGATAATTGATACATGAATGTATTCTAGGACCAAGATTACATGTTGTGTTGTATATGTAACGCTAACATTCTTAACTCTTCAGTTTTCATGTTGAGTAGAAATAAACGTCTAAGAAATAAAGTGATAGGGAAAAGTCTGTTCCTGTTATTGTCTAAATCAGTGATCCTCAAGTACTTTGTGTAAGGACTCACACAATTCCTGAAGACCCTTGCAGGTCATCCATGAGAGTATATCAAAACTATTTTCATAATACTAGGAAATTATTTGCCGTTATTTCTACTGATGGTAGAAAAACATTGATGAGTTAGTTTGCTTGTGCCTTAACCAACTCAAGGCAGGGACTATATCAGGAATTGTTATATTCTTCATCATCATGCATTTGCAATAAATATCCTTGATGAAGCAGTACAAATTAATAAATCTTGGTCCTTGAATACATGCCTTTTTAATACTTTGTGTGACAAAGTAGGAAGTGCATATAAAGCACTTGTGCTGCATTGCTGCATATTGGAATCGGAACATAATGGTTTTCTCAAGGAAAACTACTTGTACCATAGAGGTATGATCTGAACTATCTGCTTTCCTCCGGAACACTATGTTTATTTGAAAGAACAACTGACAGATAAACTATGGTTTTTCAGACCTGGCTATTTTAATGACTTTTAAAAAATGTTAACTAAATGAGGCTGTCTCTTCAAGGAAAGATACCTTGTCAGTTTTTGTTCCCAAAATTAGAATTTTGAAGAACTTGTGTATCTTACCACTGTGGATTTGATAGCGTCCCAATAGTTAACAAGCTTTTCTGATGAGATCTGTAGTTATTTTAACAAATGTAATTTTGGGGTACTATGGAATGAAATCTGTCACTATTTGTAAGATGTGTATAACTCAGTAAATCAGTACTTAAAATACCCATTCAAAATACAAGACAAACAATGGGTTTTAATGTAACAAAGAATGAAAAGCTTATTGATAGGGTTGACAGAGTGCGCATTGCAGCTAACCTTTATAAAATTACCACTCAGCACATTTAAGGTAGGCTAGGCTAAGCTATGACGTTTGGTATGTTAGGTATATTAAATGCAGTTAGACATAACAGTATTTTCAATTCAGGATGAGTTAATTGGGATGTAACTCCATTGTAAGTCATAAAACATCTGTGTTACAACAGATTGGATATGGAACAGATGTGAGAATGTAGGTGTCTTCTATTAAGCCAGACACCGAAGACTTGCAAAAATGTAAAACAAACAATACCACTCTTAATTAATATGTAATACAGGTATCTTTTTTGAGACAGTCTTGCTCTGTCGCCCAGGCTAGAGTGCAGTCGTGGCCTTCATACGTCCTTGAAGCCTCAGTCTTCCTGGGCTTAAGCAGTCCTCCCACCTCACCCCTCCCCTCCAGTAGCTGGGACTGCAGGATCACACTACCATGCCTAGCTAATTATTTTGTTGTTGTTGAGAAGGAGTCTTATACGTTGCCCAGGATGGTCTCAAACTGGGCTCAAGCCATCCTCCCTCCTCAGCCTCCTAAGATTATAGGTGTGAGCCACCATACCCGCCAAAAATTACATGCTTTAAAATGTCTTAGTTTGAATTTCTTATACATTAAATATCTATAAATATAACCCATATCAACAGAAGTTTCTTGGGGTCTTTATTAATTTTTAAGAGTGTGAACTCCTGGGCTCAAGCAATCCACTTGCCTTGGCCTCCCAAAGTGCTAGGATTACAGGCTTGAGCCACCACACCTAGCCATATATAGTGAGTGTTTTTTTTTAATGTAACTTAGAATTTAATAGAACTTAGATTCTTTTTAATCAGCATATTGTTGACCAATTTTATGAATGATAGATTATGATTGTAATAGATGATAATAGAATGATAATAGAATATTTGAGAATTGCTGATCTAATGTTAACTGTACACGGATTTGCTGAACTACTGACTCCCTAAACACATAGAAATTCTCCGTTGAGGGTTGCTAGTGGTTACTGGATGCTAGAGATTGAGTAAGGATGACATAGCTAGCAGTCTGGTAACTTACGGAATGAATAGAGTAGGTATTTTCAACCAGCTTGAATTTTCCTTGTTTATAATTCAAAGAATAAGAAACACCAGATTTAATACTTTTTTTAAAGAATAAAGTTTTACCTATTAAAATATGTTCTAATTTAGGCCGGGTGTGGTGGGCCATGCCTATGATCCCTGCACTTTGGGAAGCCAACATGAGAGGATCACTTGTGGCCAGGAGTTAAGCGAAACCTCATCTCTATTTAAAAAAAAAAAAAAAAAAAAAAAAAAATTCTCATACAGTTACTTTTGGTGGATTAGAAATACAAATGTTAATCTTGACTTTATTAGTCAAGCTTTATACTCTCTTTTTCTGACTTTTTTTTAAAGGCTTTGTTGTATTTCATAATTGTTCTGGAATGTTAGAATTTTTTTTTTCTGAAGTATAGCTTGGCTGTATCAGAAATGTGCTTCCTCTAGCAAAATAAAAAACTCAAAACCTCTCCTCACTACATTTATCAAACACAGGATGCTTCACAGTGTTATTTCTTGGTTTAGCTTGTTTTAAGCTGCCCTCTCCTTCTCATGAAATGCTGTTATGATTTAAGTCAAGATCTTTAAGCAGGCCATGCCCATTTTCACCTTATATGTTCATATGGATCAAGCTTTAGCATTAGGATGGATATCAGGTTTCTTGTAGTCAACATGTCCTTCCCCCTAAATTTGTTCTTGCAGTCTTTTGCCTCTCAATTAATGGCAGTTCCATTCTTCTAGTTAATAAGTCCAAAATCCTTGATGCCATCTTTGTTTTCCTCTCATCTGTCTATCCGTGGAGGATCTTCTCGTCCTCCACATCTCATCCATCCACAGCTCTCTTTGCTCTTATTTCAGAACATATCCATCCTGAATTGCTGCCATCATTTTTCACCTGGGTTATTGCTATCGTAGCTTCCTCAGTCGATAGTATCTTGTCACTTCACTGTGGTGATTTCTCCCCTCTGACTGGTGTATCTCCTTCCTCATGCACACCAGCCATATTAACTGCCTATCTAGTGTGCATTTTACTTCCTTATTTTGTTTATTGTTTGACTGTCCCATTAAGAATGTAATCCCTGTGACAGGAGAGTTTCATGTTTTTGCTCTAACCCTAGGACCTAGAATAATCAATAGTGCAGTAATTGCTCAATAAATTGAAAGAAGAAATGAAAAGAATCACTTAATTTTCCTAGAGGAAACTAGTCTGCATGGATAATATGACATATTCTTTAAGTTTTGTAGAGTGGCATTTCCTGGACCTGGACCTAGATTTCCTGATTTTTAGATGTTAACTTTTTATATACAGCACTGTATGCTTTTTGTGGGAAAAGAGTTTTTGTAAATGAATTTAAATAAATCCTTGTCTTCAGAATAAGAGGAAACTACCTATACTGAATTATAACTATTGAAATAATGATTTGTGTGATGCCCAAAGAGTTCATATCCGAAGTGGCAAAAACTGCATACAGGTTGGCTTCCAATAGCATGAACCAGGTATTTTTCAGTAATATTTTGAAGTGTCTTTTCTTTCTAGACATGCACATGATGGTGTCCAAGCCCGAACAGTGGGTAAAGCCAATGGCTGTAGCAGGAGCCAATCAGTACACCTTTCATCTCGAGGCTACTGAGAACCCAGGGGCTTTGATTAAAGATATTCGGGAGAATGGAATGAAGGTAAGAAACCAGTGATGAGAGTGTTTTGTAACATTCACTCTCAGTTGGGAAAGATTTGCTGGAAACAGGAAATTTTCTCTTTTTTTGAGACAGAGTCTTGCTCTGTCACCCAGGCTGAAGTGCAGTGGCACAGTCAGGGCCCATTGCCTACTTTAGCAGCTGTTCTTCATCTATGATGCCAGGATTTAACTTCTTTGTCAAATAGCATTTATATATTCCACTAATATTTTCTGAAAGCTACTGCTTGTTGGAAATACTTACATTTAATAGTCTTGTTAACTTTTGAAAAATAAGAACAGATATTTCTACTGGGCCTGCTGTGCCACAATAATGTAATACAGAGGGAATTGTAAATGTCAATGTGATATAGCATATTTGTGTCTGTTACAGGTTGGCCTTGCCATCAAACCAGGAACCTCAGTTGAGTATTTGGCACCATGGGCTAATCAAATAGATATGGCCTTGGTTATGACAGTGGAACCGGGGTTTGGAGGGCAGAAATTCATGGAAGATATGATGCCAAAGGTAAAAGAAGTATTTGATTTTGGGGTGAGACTTTTACCGTGTGTTTATTCAGTAAGCATTTATTGAAAGGCTTATATATTTAGGCATAACCTGTTCTGAAGGTGAGGAGATGGGGATGCTTACAGATCATTCTGATACAGTATATAATAAATGCTGTAATGGATTTCTGATTTGGAAATCAGAGAAGTATTACATCTTTATCTTGAAATTTTCTCTTTCTTTGAGACAAAGTCTTGCTCTGTCACCTGGGCTGGAATGCAGTGATGCAGTTAGGGTTCATTGCAGCCTCGACCTCGTGGACTCAAGAGATCCTCCTGCCTCAGCGCCCTGAGTAGCTGGGACTACAGGTGCACACCACCGTGCCCAGCTAATTCTTACATATTTTAATAGAGGGGAGGTCTCACTGCGTACCCCGGCTGGTCTTGAACTCCTGGGCTTAAGCTGTCCTCCCTGCTTGGTCTGCCAAAGTGCTGGGATTAGAGGCGTCAGTCACCACGCCTAGGAGTCTTGAAATTTTCTTTTGAAACTGTTATCTCTGTAACCTTTAAATCTCTTGGAAGTTGTCATTGACTATTGAGGATTTGTCTGTCTTCTTTCCATGACACACAGTCTCTATAAAGACATTACAGATTGCTGTTTGCCAAATAGAACAAAGCTTGCTATTAAAAACCAGGTGTTCCCCGGTAATATATTGTATTGGTATAGTTATTGTGTGAGACAATTGGAGTTTCAAGTGCTAATTTTGGCTGTTGGATTTTTTTGTTTATTTGGTTGTCTACCCCCCCACCCCCACCAACATATCCACTTTAGGAGTTACTTATTTCCTCATGTATATATCTAGGTTCACTGGTTGAGGACCCAGTTCCCATCTTTGGATATAGAGGTCGATGGTGGAGTAGGTCCTGACACTGTCCATAAGTGTGCAGAGGTGAGATTGCTCTTCAACTCTGACTAGACCAATTTCCTGTCAAGTATGTCTCCAGGACATTGTCTCATGGGCCAGCGATTCCCTCTATGGTTCCTAAGTTGACTTTCTTTCTTGGAAAAGTATTTTTTGTTCACATGTACAACTAGGAAAATAAACAGCCATAAGTGGATTTTTTTCTTTTTCTGAGACAGTCTGTCTTTGTGGCCCAGGTCGGAGTGCAGTCGTGTGATCTCTGCTCACTGCAATCTCTGCCTCCAGGGTTCAAGCGATTCTCCTGCCTCAGCCTCCTGAGTAGGTGGCATTACAGGTACCTGCCACCGTGCCTGGCTAATTTTTTTTATTTTTAGTAGAGACAGCATTTCACCATGTTGGCCAGGCTGGTCTCGAACTCCTGACCTCAAGTGATCTGCCTGCCTTGGCCTCCCAAAGTGTTGGGATTACAGATGTGAGCCACTGCATCCGGCCCATAAGTGGATATTCTAAAATCACATAAATTGTTAAATAGTAAATCCTGGTTGTCTCAGGAAGGCTGAAGAAAGTTCTTTTTTAAAAAATAATATGTTGAATTTCAGCCCTTTGGAAGATCATTAAGTTCCAGGGCCTTGGAAGTGAGAAATTTTTCCAAAATATGGAATTAAAAGATACCTCGTCTCCAAGGGGGATAAAAGTAGAGAAATCTAATTGACCTAATTATTACGTTATTCTTTAGAACCTATATATTACTTAGTTGTTCCTTGTAAGAACTTGCTAGAACCATTTTTTATTAAAATTTAGCCCTGATACCCCTTTGGCTGTCTCTGTATACCTCTTTGGCTATCTGTATACAAATAAAAACTTCTTTTTAACTTTTTTTTCAGATAGCTAGTCTAGCATAGTCAGGCTCCCGAGGATGCCAGCCCTCCTGGTAGCACCACAAGTGATTAAAATAAAACTCACATGACCTGCTTTTCTTTCACAGTGTGGTGTATCTGCTTCCAGGTTCTGTATAACTCTCACACTTTTCTGCTTGATATATACCCATCAAAAGCTTGACAGTAGTAAATACTTATGCAGGAGGGGCTGGGCAGATAATGACTGAGCTCATATCCTTTTGACTGCTTGTGGAATTGCTTTGTACAAACTGTGCTTTGCCAGTATACTACTCTGCTTTTATGCCAGAGGTTGCAAATTTTTTTTGTGAAAAATCAGACCTTGGTGATGATCTTAAACAGCAGGATATGAAGAACTCCCACAAGCTTAGCATTCCAATAATGGAACACTAGGCATAAATGAGTTAACTGAAGAGATATTTGCAGTGTTAACCCTATAAAACTTACCTTTATAATTTCTGTGAGGAATATTGTTAGAAATGCTGTCATACATAAAGTGACACTGTCTGGAAAAATTTTCCTCAGCCTGTGGTTCTCCCACTTCTCCCTCTTTGTTCTTGCAGTGAATCACAAAGCAGATTGGGTTTCTATCCTCGAATCAAATCCTAGGAAGCTCAGAGTTAAATTTGAACCCAATTTTTTAGCTTTTCTTTTTTAATTTCTTTGCTTCCATATTTAAACATATGTTAAAAACTTTGTTAAAGCCACTTCAAAACCATTCTGGAATGCAATGAAGTATAAAGAGAGACATTCATTCCATTTTTTGACACAAAAATGAGAAATCACTTTAATTTTGCCGTAATTTATGGATAATTTCACATGGTAGCAATAATTGTCCTTTCACACTCACAAATTAAGAATAAAAGTTTTTTTTAAGTAACTAATAAAAGCATTGGTGCATATTGGGAAAAACCTTAGTGGGCTTGAGGAGTAAAGGCTTTTAAACCTTATCTAAAGAGTAGCAAAGATACCATGTAGATTATTAAGAGTTGGTTTACCAGAAAGGTCAATGATTTCTTAGACACATTTAAAAATAATCTCACATCCTCATTTGTGAACATTTTAAATTTTTCTTATTGAACTAGATTGCTTAAGTCTGCTTAATCTCAAAGTGGCTCTCATGATTGAAATGTTGACAGATGCAAGGGTAGACATTCTAGTCCAGGAATTCTGTTTCAGGTTTTTCTCCATTTTCCTTTGAGGCGTAACCTAACTGTTTACTTCTTCCAGGCAGGAGCTAACATGATTGTGTCTGGCAGTGCTATTATGAGGAGTGAAGACCCCAGATCTGTGATCAACCTATTAAGAAATGTTTGCTCAGAAGCTGCTCAGAAACGTTCTCTTGATCGATGAAACCATAAGGAGCCCAATGTTTCTGTTCATGAAATCTCCCTTTTACTGGAAAACAGGAATATTGACTACCAAATCATAATGCAATTGAAGCTGCACTGCTTTTTTGAGCAGTTATTCATTCCAGTGATTAAAACTGATTGTGCAGAATATTCTAAGAGGTTAGAAATTGGTGTGTATAACTATGTTTTTAGTGATGCAGCTTAATGATTAGTGAGTAAGATACTGTTTTTATTGAGAGACTTGATTTTTATAAAGAGTAAATATACGGCTGTATTAAGGTTACAAACAAAAAGTGTCTTAATGCCTAAGGAGGGCATATTGACTACACTACAAAAACAAATTTTGTCTGTACTTCTGAAAAGAATTTTGTTGTTTCTCAGCTGTTTTCCAAAAGCAAAGGAAGTCTTTATGGTTTTTTTCTATTTCATGTTATTTGTGATTTGTTTATAAGTTTGGGTGGGATGGCATACCATATTCTTGGTTCTTAAAATCTATCACTTTTAACCTTACACTTGATGTGTGAAAACTATAAAAACAATGTATGAAACCCAGGGGTTCTAAAATACAAGCATAGATTTTATCAGGGTGTTTTGTCAAAGCAGATTATTCAGTGATTCCTCCCCACCATTCTTAAGGACGTTAAATAGTGCTGTTGTGTTAGCTCTGAGTAGAAAGGAAAAAGTAAAACCTCTGTTTGGAAGTAATACTGGGTTGAATTCTGACCGCCCCTTTCTAGCTGGACCTTTAACAAATCACCCAATCTTTTTTGCATTTCTCCTAACTCATTTATACATTAAATGTAATTATAACAACTGTGGGGTTGTGTTGAGAATTAAGAGGTAACACTATATACCTAAAGTTTCCAGTACTAGTCCCAGAATTTAGAATATGCTCAATGCAAAGTAGATAGCATTATATAAGTTTATATTTCATGAGTTATAAAGTACTTTGATATATTCTCATTAAATCTGTAAATCACCTCTATAAGTAAGTGGTAATAATAAAGCAGGTATTTTTGTCCCCATTTAAAAAATGAAGAAATTAATGCTCAGTAGTAGGATGGTACCCTGAAAGGATCTAGGAAGTGGTAGAATTTCTGGTCTGTACTTTTACAAATGGAGCCCTTGGGAGGTCGGTTAGGTAAGAAGCTTTTTACTTAACATTGTCTTATTTCCAGTCTAATTTTACACTGTAGCAGAACCAGATGGCTGAGAATATTCTGGAACTATGGATCTTGACCCCAAGGATATATTATTTTATTCCAAGAAAGATCAGGTAGGCGAAAAGATGACAGGATGCAGAGTCAATCCATAAACTAAGTATTTATAACTGTTTGAATTATAGAGAGTCTAAAAATATGTGTCAGCTATTTCATTCCTGTAAATACTCTTGCTCTGTTATAAATATGGCAAGAAATATCAGGACCAGTATCAATAGACTTCTTGAGGCTACTATAAGTTTTGAGAAATAAGGTTCAAAAAGTAAGAATGCTAACAGTTAAGCTTAGACTAGAGCTTGCTTGGGTTTCTTCCTGCATTACAAGGTAAAAATTTGTTAATGTTTGTTTTTATTTCAGCTTAGGAAAGCTTTGTGCCATGAGTAGGTCGCATTTAATAACAAGCAACACAAGGTATATAGAAATAACTTTAATTAAAAAACTTACATAGAAGATTATAATATCAGACATGACAAAGATTTGAGTTTATTTGCCTGGACAACTTGGGTTTGTCTGGCTTTTGTTTTCTTTTTCTTTAAAAATAAATGTACAGTAAAACTACAAGCAAAAGTTTGTCAGTATTGAATTTGGATTTTTTACCCCTTAAAAGGACTAGTATAATTTCCAATCTCTAACAAAAACTTAGTGTCAAATCTCACAGATTAGGCCAAATGGCCAATATTTTCAGTTATGTGGGTAGTACAACTTGAATAACCTTTTTACATGACAAAAAGTGATTTATATAAATTGTCCTCAACTTTCACATATAAAAAAATGGTTTTATAGCTTCAAAAGGAATTTTCTTTCATATATACTCTTTAGTATCCAAATATTGAAGCTTTGTTTTTTGAAAATGTTTAATTCCCAATCTAGGATGCAAGCAAGAATATATGTTTATTTGAATAGAGTAAGCTATGGCAAAGAATGACCAAATTAGCTAGAAATAGAAATCAGGCAGAATTACTAATTTCTTGCTAATCTAGAAATACAATCTTTTTTTTTTTCAAATTTTATACTGATAGGACTTCACTGTTTGTGGCTCATTTTAAATTGATGTCTTCATGAGACACATTAATTGGTAAAACTCAAATTGAGTTTTCAAAGATGTGATAGTATTAAATTGCACCAATATTTAACTCAAATTTGCTTGCTTTATTTTGTTAGGAGTAAACAGAAAGTAGCCTGTGTTTAGTCCCAAAGATATCAATGATTTTGGATAAAGAAGTTTTGTGTTATGATGGTATATAAATTTCTGTAAATAACTTCTACTGTTGGTTAAACATGTTAAACAAAAAAACAACAAAAAACTTAATCTCTATATTCAAGATGTTCAGATGTCTTTTATCAGTGGAAACCTGTGTTTTATCTATACTGCAGCTTACATTTCATAGGGTAGTTCATACATGCATTTCCAAGGGGAGTGGGTCATTGCCAGTGTTTCAAAAACTACATAGGGGGATGTGTGTGTGTATGTTTATTTTATACACACATATTTGTATATTCTAATATATTAAGGCAATTTTAATGAATTACCATGTATATAAAAAAATAGCTGTCACTTGGCGCACAGGTTTGTATATATGTGTATATATGTGTATGTATGTATGGTGTGGGTACATAGTCTTAAAAATTACCCAGTAAGGTGATTTGACATCAAGTTGCAGCAATTAATATCTTGGTGTTTGTAAGTTGCATGATAAACACAAATGACTACCACTTGTCTGTAGATGAAAAGCTGGTTACCCTTGTGGTTCCAGAAGGAAAAACAGACTTATCTTGCCTGTTTCATAAACAGCATAACAGATTAATACATGCAGAACATGCTCTTATTCTGGAGGGGATGGGAGATCCAGAACAGGGCTTTATTTCCTCCCATCTTTCCTACATTTACATAGTTTTCTTAACCTGTTCCCTGTCACCTATTTTTTTTAACATTAGTAAGTCCTAGATCAAAGGTTTTGTATTCTTCTATTCCATCTGACTGCTTTTTTGGATGGTGGCCATTCTCTGGTACACTGGTACCGAAGATTTCACGATGGAAAGCTGTGCTTGACCATTCAACCCGATCGTTTTTTTCATCTTCACATAATAAGGCTGCCATGTCTTCACCCTTCAGTGGAAAAGTCCGTCGTTCCCACCACAAAGACTGAAAGGGGAAACATTTTCAGTTAAGTTTCAACTAATTTGTTTTGTTTAAATTCATCTAACAAGTAATCTGTACATATCTATATTGTAATAATTATTGTTCTGTTCTTTTAGCACATAACTGTACAAATTTTCATTTCAACTTAAATAGCAACTCAAATGGGAATATACTGAGAATTCTTGAGTGACTTTTGGTATTTATTTCTTTACTTTGCCTCTGCCAAGAAGAGGAAATGCTGCCACAGGCAGTGGTCTTCATTTCCAACCTAAGAGCACTTTGGGAAAGTGTTCTCAGGTTTGATATACTTCTACAATGTCTTCATTTTCATTATTAAAGGTACCTATTAACTTTTTCTTTCCTGAGCTTTCTGCAACTTGCCTGTTAATTCTATAATCTCCATTCCATTCTAGATCTAGTTCTTTTTCAGTGTCTATTTATGAAGAAAGGTGTAAGAATTTTATGGATGCAGTGTTAGAAAGCAGTACCTTTAAGGTAGGAACTGGGTCTGTGGTGAGGCATGTAAAAATCTTAAGATATGAGGAGAAAGAAATAGCAGCTAACGTTGGCCATGTAGCAGGTGCTATTCTTCATCAATCAGGTTTGTTTTGTAATGAAACTTGGATAGTACTCCATTCTCTAATAGATGAATGAGTACTTGGAGGTTCGTATTGACTTGTTACACAAGGTGACTGTAGTTAGTAGTGGACACAAAATGCTGGAATACAGATCTTCTCTACCTAACTATCTTATTGAATTTGTTATGTAATGATGTAATAAAGAAAATTAATTTTTTTCAAGTAGTTTCTACAAACAAGTAGTTAAAAGGCAAGGAATGGGAAGTTTAATCATATATATTGCACTTACCTTGGTTTCTTGGCTTTGATTTAAAGAAGGTAAGCCATATGCACACAGATCCTGGTTCTCTGAAGGAAGCTCAGGAGGACTTGCAGCAGCACATTGCTGACTGCTACTAAAGTTATTAGGGTATTCTTTCAAAAGCAAGTCATGTCCTTCAACATTTTTACTGTAAGCTCTAGCAAGAAAATCAGGAAAACACAATTATTTGTTATTTTTTGAGGTCTTGAAAATTTATGAACAACCCAAGGTATCACTGAGTCAAGTTAACTTGGTAACTTTAAACAGTTTTGCCCAAAGATTTTTAAAAATTCCTCTGGTGCTATTTATTACTTTCGTACTCAGAGGATGAAACAGTACTTTATGAAATATTTTACCGAATTATAGGGGGAGGGGTGTTCTTGCTGTTTATTTGGTTTGTTTTTGTCTTTTGTCTGACTAATTAAACAAAAGATACTCCTTAACTAAAACGACTACCAGACTTCACATAATCTTGCTTTTTGAGTTTTGGCTCTTTTAAAAATGATCAAATGTATAATAAATATAAAATAACAGGGATTTTCTCACATAATAATTATGTCTGATTTACTTCCCCTTCCCTCAAAGCTCATTTGTGTTTCTAAAAGTATTTTAGGCTTTTTTGCATTTTAGACTAAACAGGTTTCTTGAGAAATTTTTTATTTTTTTTAAAAAAACATATTTTAGAAGTAGTGATGTTAAAATGGATTACCTAAACTCCAGTCCCCAGTGTGAGGTCCATTATTAAAGTAGATTGAAATGAACTACTTCATATATACAGAGAATTTTCACATTGTTTGTTAGTTAAATCTATTCCTGAGGCTGACAATGTAAGAAACAGTAAAATACAGAAACTAATTTCATCATTATAGAATGAGCTCAAATATATTTTGAATACAAGCTCATTCTGTGTAGTATTTTACTTCTGGTGCACAAATAGCTGATGTTACAACATCATGGTTTCCTTTTCAGTGGTCTCACCGAAAACTCATGCAGAGGTTTTGTTCATTTCACATGAATTCTATGGTTTGGGGTTTTAAATTTATAACCTGCCTGCTGTTTCTTCTGTGCCACTTGCTTTGCTCCCATAGTGACCACCTGGCTTGCTCTCTCTCTTCATATTTTTTGTGCCTTAGGGAGAAGACTTCATCAGAAAGATCTTCTATCTGGAATTAGAAATAAATATTTTTGCTTTAATCAGAAACATTTTGAAATATAAGATCAGGCTGGGCACGGTGGCTCACGCCTGTAATCCCAGAACTTTAGGAGGCCAAAGTGGGTGGATCACGAGGTCAGGAGTTCAAGACCAACCTGGCCAAGATGGTGAAACCCTGTCTCTACTAAAAATACAAAAATTAGCTGGGCGTGGTGGTGGGTGCCTGAAATCACAGCTACTTGGGAGGCTGAGGCAGAGAATTGCTTGAACCCAGGAGGCGGAGGTTGCAGTGAGCCAAGATCGTGCCACTGCACTCCAGCCTGGGTGACAGGGTGAGACTCTTGTCTCAAAAAAAGAAATACAAGATCGAGTTTCAAAGTTTCAAAGAGTTTCTCATGTAGAAAACAGTAGGAAGCAAACTAAAATGCTATCTGTGTAAGTTGAGAGAACAAATGTTATCAGATGAACTTCAAATTCCTATAAAAGGGGAGTCAAAAATGTTTTAAAATTATTTTATTATTGTTATTTTTAGACACGGGTCTCTGTTGCCCAGGCTGTAGTGAGTGCAGTTGTGCAATCATAGCTCACTGCAGCCTCGAACTTCTGGGCTCAAGCGATCCTCCCACCTCAAATAACTTAAAAATACTTGTATACTATTGGTTCATATTTGAAGACTTCGGTAGACTACAAATGAGTTCATAGTGCTTTCCATTTGCCATAGCTTAGTACCAGTAGTCTTAATGCTTTGTTCATTCAAGAGCTTTTATGGATTGTGGAGGACACACTATTCTAAGATGTTAATATCAAAGAAAAGTATAAAACTAGCTTAAATCAGAATTAATTTAATGAATGACTTATCTAGGTTTCGAACCTGGAATACTACCTTGGTTATGGTATTTAAGAATTTGGGTTTCTTGGCTAGGATCATTCAGAAATGAGGAAGAATACATTAGAAGAGGAAAGGGCATTAAAAGGTAAATTTTGGTAGTTGAAAAACGTGACCACTGGGCATGGAAAGATTGTTACTTGACAGAAACTAAGTGTCTTCAACAGTGTCTTCTAGAGACCATCACTTTGGAATTAGTTTGGTTATAAAGTATTTTTCCCTATAATCTTATCTTGATAAAATTTTATCCATACATATTCACAACCCCTTACCTGCAATTCCAAAATCCAAAAATCTGCAAAAACAAATTTTTCAGAATTCATTTGGTGACATAGCCTGATCTGTAATGATGTGAGGCTATTTTTAGTGTTTATCCAACTCAACTATGAATATTTCACTACAGAAACATTAATGTCTGATTCCTCTTACACCCTAGACTCTACAGGTATTACATGATGTATATACCACATTACTTTTTTAAAGTCCGAAATTTTCCAAACTGAAGAGCAAATTGGCCCTACGATTCTGAAAATGGCATTTAAACCTTAAAATAATGAGTGAGACTAATCTCATGCAGAAAAATATAATACTGACAATGAATGTGGATATTCATGTAAATTCAGTGTCTCAAAAACTCATAAACGCTGTATTTTTTTTTTGGCTTTTTAAATTATTGTGTATTTGTGTATTATGCTGGTAGTCAAATTTGCACAAAACATTTTTTGAATATTCTTTTAAAAGAACTTCCTTTTCATAAGTGAAAGGAAAAAAAAATCAGTGTAAGTTAAAGGGTTTATATATTCCTTTAATTCCCTGAATGTCAAAGCAAGCAGGTTTCTTTATACATAATGTATAATTATCCCATTAAATGAAAGGCAGCTTACCTCTTCTTCGCCTAAATTATATTCATCCAAAGGCTGAAGAACAACCATCCTCCAGCTGTTGAAGAGAAAAACCAATGTTAAACAGCTTTTATTTATCTAAATGTGGCAATTTTATACTCTAAGCACAGCTAAGTGTATTAGTATTTCCTTTCCTTGGCACTTCATGGTTCAAATTGTGTTTTAATACTTAATTTTTTTAAAAGAAAAATATTTGTATTATGAGTAAAGGATAAAAGAGAAAATGAGACGTGACTTTTGGCTTTATGGTGAATAGTCTGTTCTGTATAGCTGCATTTTATACATAATAATTATGTACTGACTGAAGTTAGTGGTATGCTGATAAACCTGGCCTGGCCAAAAAGTAACAGAAGGAAAAAAACCCTGGTTTGTATGTTTGCCAGTTTCTTTGGTGTGAAAATACCTACCATAGCCCCTTTTGAGTCATCAGTAGTTTAATAACTGGCTCACAGAAGTCTTCTATATTTAACTATCTACTCAGCCATCTAGCTCCAGCCTACCATTGCAAGTTGAAATATATTTTTGCTATAGAACATCATAGCCACAAATGTTACTCATTACTTATGCAACAAGTATCCACAGATTATAGGAGTTCTCATAGTAGAACTCTTATAGAATATTAGAGTTCTTGATACCTCAAGGTAATTATGAATAAAAGAAATTATGAAATTAGAATAGAGATGTATAGCAATTAACTGAAATTGTCACCCACCTGTCTCTGTTTGCAACCTTTTCTGTCTCTACTTCCTGGTGTCATATTTATATTCTTAAGAAACTGCACTCATCATTTCTAAAAAGTTGGGCTAACTTTACTGCCAGTAGGGAGCAGATCTGCATATGGCATTCAGGGACCTCCACAATCTGGACCTAACTTTGTTTCTAGCCTCCCATTATCAACCTGCACAAAACAGTATCTGGCTAAACCTTACACACTTGTCCTGTGCCTTTGTTGTGGTATCGCTGTGTAAATACCGTCTCCACCTTCCCATTCCTTCATGGGTGGCTTCCCAGACCTTCCCACTCATCTTTTGAATGTGTTTATTGCTGACTTGGCAATACATCACAATTTTTTTTTTTTTTTTTTTTTTTGGTCACAGGTATTACTGTCTTACAGTGTGAATACCCCATGAAAAGGCAAAACTCTTTGCAACTTATGTCACACCTGTATCTTTAAGGGCAAGGATTATTTGTTGCTATAGTTTTTATGTCACTAAAGTGCCTTTTAGTGTCATATACACAGTAGATAACTAAATGACATTGAATAATAAAGACTAAGAATGCTAAAGTAGTCTAGGAATTCCCAAATCTTAATAAAAACTCAGAAATAAACTGATACTATATAACACTTTTTCTAAAGGCATGAGTAATTTTTTTTTTTTTCACCGTTTCCCCTCCATGGCTATGAAAGAACTGGGAGAAGGATCCTCCTTTGATTAATTAAAATTTGAACTTCACTTTGAAAATTTAAGTTTATTAAGGAAGGAAGGAAGGAAGAAGGAAAAATATGAAGATGTGAGTATACGTACCTTGGAGTAAGTATTTCCTTATATTGGAGTTTCTCTAATTTAGCTGGGGCTACTAATGACATGGGAATCACAATGTTATCTATGTCATAAGAGCTCTCACTTCTCAATCTCCGTCGTGCAGTATTCTGCAAAGCAGGATTACAGTAGATTTACAGTACTGTCTAGTTACTTCTAATGATACCCTCCTTTCATCAGTTATATAAATATGGCAGTACACATGTTACATAATTTTTGTAAATACATTGTTATAAAGTCTAAAATGTGTTCAGAAAACTAAGTAAGAAAATGTTTCTGTATTTTGTAAATCAGAACAATCTCTTGGTAGATTTGTAATGTATTTATGTGTGCAAGCATACAAGCTTATTTTTAAGACCATAAAAAAAATGTCTTAAATGCAAAACTCTTTATCAGAAAAGACTAACATACATCACCCTAAATGTCAATGAAATGATCAGTAACCCACTTTTTATTAGGAAAGGCAGTGAAATATTTTTGGTCAGCCCTTCAGTATACTCTTCATTTGTGTGTTCCTGGTTCCTGAGCTTCAGACTGTTCATTTCTAAACGCTGCCACCTTTTGACCTCTCTGTACCCTGGCCAGATAACCAAAAAAGCAGGATAAGAACAAGACAAGTCCTGAATTCTCATTAGTAAGATTTGATTTAGCTTCATATGTTAAGGAATAGAGATGATCATGATAATCTAAATTTTTAACACCTAAAAAGAAGCTATAACCAAATATTAATGAACTTTTAGCTTCATAGTTAAAAATAAGTTGTATAAATCAAATTTATTGTTTTCTAACAAGATAGTTATAAATGTCTATTAATATGTGCTAGTAAATAAGCCTGTTATAGATTAGCAAAATATAAATTATTTTCAAAATCAGGTGTTTTTATTTTTAAAGCCATTTTAGAGTTCAACATAGAGAAAAACCTACTCGTGATGATGAATTCTGGATTCTTGATAAAACGTTGACATTAGAAACAGCTGTAAAATTGCTATGGGATCCTGAGTCTGTGTGTTGAAAATCAGATTCTTCAAGTTTAATTCTTTCTCCTGCCGTGGAAAGAGCCATTGAATATCACACATTAAACATGACTAATAGGTATCATTAGAATTACTTTCCTAATTAGATGACAGGTGATTGATTCCTTGTTTTTTGTTTTTGTTTTTGTTTTTTTAATTCGTGTATTAGAAAACAAAAAAGGAAATGAAAAAAGAGGAGTCTTACAGTCATGCCATAAGTTATCTCCATTTTCTGGGGTTTTGGCAGTTTTTATCCAATATATTTCATATTGTTCCCTGAATAATCCTTCATCTCATTCCTTTATTCTTGTTTCCTGTGACTCCTATTTGTGGTTGAACCACCAGAACTATCTTAGTTTTCTTATCTAGTCTCATTTTTCATATTTGACTTTTTATTCTAATTTCTGTGAGGTGTCTGTCCTTGGTTTTCTGAACACTCTGAATTTTTTTTAAAAATGCTGCTATTAAAATACATATTTCCAAAAGTACTTGTTCTCTAGTACTCTTTTTTTTAAATAGCATCCTGTTCTTGTTTCGTAGATGAAATTTCTCATTTCTCTCAGGATATTGATTAGAAGTTTACTTCTATTAGTATTTTCTGTATTTCTTCCAAGTTCCTTTTTTTCCCTGTTTTGGTTCCCTGTTGTGTGTGTGTATACAGTAAACATATATATGTATGCATTTACGTACTGCCCTTATTTTAGTACAGATCTTTTAAAATGAGAATATTTTCCTGTATAATATAAAATCTAATACCTAGTCCATATTTACATTTCTCCATTTGTTAAAAACGTCCTTTATAGCTAGTTTCTTCAGATAAGGATCTACATGTTAAAATTGGCCATTGTCTCCTAGGTTTCTTATAGTCTAGAATAAATCATTTTTCATTACATTGACTTGACAGGCTGGACCAGATGTCCTATCCTTTTGGAATTATCTAGTTATTTCTGTGTAGTATGATATTTCTTTGTTTTATTCCTGTATGTACATCAAACTTGAAGTTAGAGCTAAAGTATCAGTCAATTTAAGAGAAACATTTTATACCTTAGGTAATGTATACTTCATGTTGCATCTTATTAGATTTTTTTTTTAAAGCTTAGTTATGTTTTGGTATGCATATATGAAAGTTCCTCAAAAGCTAGGTGAATACTTCGTTGTTCTTAGAGTGAGACACTAAAGAGCCTAATGAAACCAGCTCTGAACATGTGTGGGAATTTGTTCACTTTTTGCTACAACATAGCTGATCAGATAGTTATCAAGTAGTGACTAGGTAGGTCTTTTATCGTGGGATATCTGAAGACACCAGAGATAAACAGATTAAATCCATTCTGTATAATTAATACATCTTGGGTGTAGTTTCTAATTTATCTTGCCAGTTAATTTTTATTTTTTATCATTTGCAATAACTGTGGCAACTATCTTGTCCCAAATCTCCAAAATAAATCCCTTTGTATTACTAGAAGAGTTCTAATTTCCAAAGCTTTCTCTTGATCATCTTGGAACTCTATAGGCTTGTAAGGAGAATTGAACAGGGTAGTTTAGCATTTCACTTGAAGCTTGTTCACTTTCTCAAAATCCTGAGGAATCTGCAGTGCATCAACATCTCCACAGTAGGTACCATAAATGGTTAACAGTTTCTATAAGGCAACTTTACACTAGCCTATTTTGAGCCTAAAACACAACTTTGAAGATTAAATCCCATCCAGGGAGTGATTGGTAGAAGACAACTAGTCAGGGAACATAGGAGGGAAATAATTGCCATAAAGTAGGTAGATACCAGTCCACAAATAATTCTAAATTAACTACGAATATGCTGTTTCATGTTTGTAGAGTCATAGATGTTTTGTGTAATTAGTGGCTGTTCTGGATTATAAACTCCCATGAGACAGGTTATTTTAAAATCAGAATTTTTATTTTTAACATCACTACTGCTTATATCCTCACTTTAACCTACCTAATGCTGTTTCACTCAAATGTCTTTTCTTTCTTCCCTGTAACAGTTGTGCAGAAGATTCTGACCTTATTTCAGGCTTATGTGTAGGTGAATATCCATTTCTCCATTGATTCAGAGAAGTACTATGTACTAAAACAAATGAAAAGGAAATTTTAAGTTTTAGTTCCTTAACACAGTGAACATGTTAATCTGTTTTTATTTGTAACTGCAGAATTTTAAGATACCATTTCAAAATTACAGATAAATATAACCTTAAATACCAAGACAGACAACTCCAACTAAAAACATCCCCAGGAATTTCCAGTTTCTTGTATTTTCTTCATTTTTTTTGAGGGGAATGAAAAGGGAAGATGATCTGTTCTCAAAGTCTTCCAAATTACAGAAACTTTATAGAGTGAGGATTGGCTCAGATACATAAATCCTGGCGATCATCAGAATCTTTAAGTTCTTGCTTACCCTAAATCTGGAAATCATTTGGGACCAAGTAAGATTGAACATGGTGAGACTAGAGCAAGAACCTGAATCATTTAACATCTCTGATGCCTTAGTTGCATCATCTGTAAAATAGGGATAATAGCGACCTTGGGTTTATAATGATTACTTGAGTTTATTCCTGTAGCAGTAAGTAAAAGCATCTGACGTGATAAGTGTTCAGTAAATGTTAGCATTACCATGATTGTATATCTGAACCCCCTTATTTCCAGCCTTGGTCTAATAACCAAATTGGCTTCCGTTTTTGAAAGGTTTGGAGATGTGGAAAGGAGTGGAAAAAGAAATATGTAAGCTGAAGTGCCAAACTCACACTATTGAAATAAAGGGCATGGCCTACCAGCTGACAAGGAGCGTCTGGTTTCAAGATGGCAAATGACCCTAAATATGATAGACAAATACTTTTTACATAGGTACATGCACAGATACGCACATATAAATCCATATTTGCAAGCAAAAAGTGGAACTTACAAGGCAGAATTTCTGAGGAATCTCTGAAAGACTAATACTATGTGGAATTTGAAGAGGAAACCCAGAGCAGAAGCACACAGTGAAGTACTGCCACAAAGAGGTGCGATGCCACCAAAGGTGGTCTAGACCCACAAGAAAGGAAAATTGGAAGCAGGACAACTATCTGGATATTGACTGCATATGTCAATATCTCAGTCAGACTAACAAAATCAGCTTTAGGCAGATAAATGAATGGTTGGAGAGAGAAGGCAATGCCAAAGTGCCCCGCTTTGAAATGTCCGGCCCATCCCCAAATTAGTGTGAAAATTTCAAATGTAGTATAAATTCCCTTCCCATCAGAAGTGTCCCATAAACAGCAGTGGTAGAACAGTTTTAACTGAGTATCACAGCTTCAATGATGAGCATAGAAAACTCCAAAAATCTGAATACCAACACTAAATCAAAAAACAGGTACAAACCACAAGTGGAGAACCATCTCAAGAAATAATGGAGCATTCATGGAATACATATTAGCAACTCTTTTAACAGTTAATATTGCCAAGAGAAACAGGTAAGAGGCCCTCTGGAGAAGTGTCAGAAATAGAAAATATAATTGTCCAAATGTTAAAATCATCACTAGGCTAAGTAACAATGGAAACAGCTGAAAATCAAAATCAAGGTCTGGAAGAGGAATTCCATATCTTGATGGAATAGAGTGATAGAAAATATGGAGGGAAAAAGACCAGAATGGGGTAACAGATGAGACGAGAGAGAATGAAAAGGAGGGAATAGTTGAAGATAGTTGAAGTGTTTTCCAGAATCAGTATTAAACCCTAAGATTTCAACGATGCACCTGAATGTCAAACAGCAAATGAAAATTAAATCATAAGTGCATCACAGATGATGATACCCTGAAAGTTATTAATACAAGAAAACAGCATGGCAGGAGTAATCTAAACTTACTAAAATGGTAACTAGAATTGTGAGAGGTGGATTTTAAAATGTATATGTTAAAACGTATGTAGGTATTAAAAGTGTCCATTCTTTTAATAACATTTTGCTGTAGCATTTAAGCAAACTGTAGACAATTAACGTTTCTCTTTATTTTCTACAAGCAATTTTCCACTCTTCTGAAAACATCAAACTTTGTGAAAGAATCTTAACTTTCACAGAAGTTGATTTTTAAATTAAATTCTATTCAAATGTTTTCTTCACATTTATCATTTTCCTTCTAATTCGTTATTGTCTTGTAAGGTTTTCATGGACCCTTGAAATAGTAGGAAATGTATGACAATTCTACACATCCTCTTCACCTGTTCTATTGATAAACCTCCCAGCCTTTCAGTTCTTGCTCTCCCAATCCTCTCGTAGAGTTCATCCTAAGATCACACTTTGATAGCATTTCTCATATATCCTGTCTTTACTTCCTTCCCTTTTATTCATCCAACAACTTTACAGAGATCCAATTACATGGCAAGCACTATTCTAAACCCTAGGTAAGCAAAACTAGGATTTGTAGCAGCCCTTGTAGTTTACAGGTGTTATTTCAAGGAATGCAATCGTAACGTGATAGAAAAATATGCATTTCAGTTGTGAAACTACATGATGTTACTGAGAATGTATAAGAGTACTAGTAAGAGCTCTGGGAAAGGCTTCCCCAGATGAAGTCATAGATTCTAAATATGAACAGAAATAGCTGATAGCTAGGGGAAGGAGGAGAATAGCATGTACAATGGCCCAAGGGAACAGGACAAGTTTGGGAACTGAACAGCTATGCAGTGTAGAGTAAGGAAGCATGGTGAGAAACAATCATGAGGGAGGGGCCAGCCTATGTAGATAGGGCTTTAAGGTGTTAAGAATATTCCTTCTCGAATGTTTTAACGGGATGGTGTGGGGAGCAGGTGTGACATTAGATTTGCATTTTGAAGAGATCACTGCCTACAGTGATTAAAGGGGAAACATGGATTAAAAGTCTATTTCAGAAGTATAGATAAGAGATCATGGTGGACTGTGAGAGTAGTCGAAGGCAAGAAAGGAAACACATAAGATCATATTGACAACTTGGCAATTGGTTTAGACAGGAGGAAGTGTAGGTGACAAAAACTGAGCTTTATGTTTCTGGCTTGCTTGTGTGGGTTATGGTGCTACTGTTCCTCCTCTTCCATCTATCTGAGACATAATTTCAGAATTACAGAAAACTTGAAATAGAACAAATTTCTGTAGACCCTTTTCTGAAATCCCCCAAATGTTAACATCGTATCACATTTGCTTTACCTCCTTCTTTCAGACCACAAATGAAATTTAGTTGCTGACATGATGCCCCTTTAGCCCTAAAAACATCAATGTATCTCTGAAAACAAAGGACATTCTCTTATGTAGCCATGCAGTTCAGTGCCATTAGCTAATCTATAGACTTTATTCAGATTTCACCAATATCTCTATAATGTTATTTACAGATAATTTCAACTATTCATTGCAGATGGCATTGCAGTTGTCAGATCTCATTAAGGTCATATCTGAAACAGTTCTACTGTCTTCCATAACTTTCATAACTTTGAATATTTTAATAAGTATAAACTCTTAAATTGGTTTTGTCTGGTATTCCTCATGATTAAACTAGTCATCATTCACTTTTCATCCCACTACAGTTTGGCTTTTCTCTGCTTGTTGCCTGAAATCAGCAATTCCATTGTAAACTGCCAGATCTAATGGACCATACAGGATAAATCCAAGCAAAGATCTGTCTACTGCCTTCACGCTATTTGCCCTACCAGAATGCCAAGTTATTTATAGATATTTGTTGTTGTTTGTTTTGAGATGAAGTCTTGCTCTGTTGCCCAGGCCGGAGTGCAATGGTGCCATCTCAGCTCACTGCACCTCCGCCTCCTGGGTTCAAGTGATTCTCATGCCTCAGCCTCCCAAGTAGCTGGGACCACAGGCATGCACCACCACCCTTGGCCAGTCTTTGTATTTTAGTACAGATGGGGTTTCACCATGTTGCCCAGGCTGGTCTTAAACTCCTGATCTCAGGTGATCCACCCGCCTCAGCCTCCCAAAGTGGTAGAATTACAGGCGTGAGCCACTGCACCTGTCCTTATTTATAGATATTTGAATATATCATACTGTGTCATTTCTCCATGACAAGACATATGTTTGTTTTTGTTCTTTAAAGACTTGTTACTCAATATGGGCCAACAGCATCCGAATCACTTGGGACCTCGTTAGAAATGCAGAATTTCAGGTCCCATTCCAGATTTATTAAATCAGAATCTGCATTCTAACAATATCCCCAAAGTAACTTGTTTACATTTTAAAGTTTGAGAAGCACTAATCTGGAACAGTTCATCCTTCTTTCTCTGTAAATTCCAATTCAGTAGTTGAAGCTGCACTTGGCATCACCATCTTTCTAGAGTTCCTCTCCTTGCCCATTTCTCATCTCCCTTAACCTCTCTTTTTCTGCCTTCTAAGCAGAGTTACATACTCCTGCTTATTTATATCTTATATAATTTCTTTTTAAGATAGAGTCTCACTCTGTCACCCAACCTGGAGTGCAATGGTGCGATCATTGCTCATTGCAGCCTCGAGCTCCTGGGCTCAAGCAGTCCTGCCTCAGCCTCCTAAGTCACTGGTACTACAGGCATGCACCACCATGCCATGTTGCCCAGGCTGGTCTTGAACTCCTGGGCTCAAGCAATCTCCCTACCTCAGCCTCCCAAAGTGCTGGGATTACAAGCATGAGCCACCACACTCAGCCTTCAAATGTGTTTATCCCCATTATACTATATAACAGTTATTTGTATCTTCCTCCATTACAATTTTGACTTCCTGTAATTCACCTTTGATTCTTCAGCACTTAATAGTGTGCCTGGCACTAAGTGCTTAATAAATTCTGAACTCTAATCACTAACAGCAAAAGAAAAATTAATGACCAGCTATTTAAGACAGATATATAGGATGAAATTTCTCATTACATTATTCATGCATTCCCCTTAATTGTCTGCCTAACACGTTTAACTGCCTTATTTTTTGTTTTTTATTTTTTTAGAAACAGGGTCTCACTTTGTCACCCATCCTGGGGTGCAGTGGTGTAATTATGGCTCAGTGGGAGCCTCAACCTCCCAGGCTTGAGTCATCCTCCTGCCTCAGCCTCCCAAGTAGCTAGGACCACAGGTGTACACCACCATGCCCAGCTAATTTTTATATTTTTTGTGGAGATAGGGTTTCACTATATTTCCCAGGCTGGTCTTGAACTCTGGGCCCAAGTGATCCTCCTGCCTCAGCCTCCCTAAGTGCTGGGATTACAGGTGTAGGCCACCGCGCCCGACCTGCCTTATTTTTTTAAATCAAATAGTAGAACAACATTAAAAGAAACATAATTAATCTCTAATAGCATATATTTTCATATTTGCCTACTCTTTCAGTCAATAATACGTTTTATATTTCATATATCAAATATGAAATAATTTTAATTAAATGTATACTTATATTTTTATCACAACTCTTACTTTTTCAGATGGCTGTATAACATTCCTCTGATTAGAAACAATGTTCTTTAGCTATTTCCTAGCTGTTGACCATGATACTTATCATCATAATGATAATGCTATTAAAGACATTCTTAAAATAATCATCTTCATGGATACATTTTTTTCCCGTTTGAAAAAAATCTAGTCTTAGGACAGATTCCAACAAGTGAACTCGCATCATTAAAAGGTAACTGCACATATTACTTATATTTTTCTGTATTTTAGGCTTTTTCCCCTTAGCATAGATAATTGTTTTTCATCCTTGGTGCCTTCATCTTTTTTCTCTTTAATTTTTGCTGTGGAAAAATTTCAGATAAACACAAAAGGAGACTAGAATAATGAACTCCCATATACCTATCCTTCAGTCTCAGCAGTGAACAACGAATCTTATTTCATCTCTCCCACCAACATTTTTGCTAGAATATTCAAAAGCAAATCCCAGACATATCTTTTCATCTTTTCATATGTTAGTGTGAATCTCTAACAAACTGAAAAAGTGCATCTGGGTTTATGTAACCACAATGCATTATTACAAGTAGCAAAATTAACAATAATTCATTAATATCTAACAGCTAGTCCATGTTCAAATTTCTCGTTTCAAAAATTATGTGTGTGTATATAAACAGCAGGTTTATTCAAATCAGTCTCAATAAGGTCCACACATTGCATTTGGTTGATATAAGAATAAATATTTCTACATGGCTATAATTGTACCAGACACACAAGTAAAATATTTTCATCCTTTTATATCACAGCATTCTTTGATGAGTATGTTTCCATCTTTATATGAACTTTTAAGATATTTTTTAAGGCTGTATATTCCACTGTAGTATATTTAACCATATCCCTATTGTGCTCTTCAAGTTGTCGCTAATTTTTCATTATCACAAAAACATGATAAGATGAATATAGTTGTGAATAAAGGTTTCATATTTAGGATTAGACTAGATTCTTGGAAATGGAATAATTGGGTCAGAACATAGGGTTAACAGTCAGTAAACATTTATGGGGAATAGGTACAAAAGTAAACAAGGGAGTTTTTAAGCCACACTGAACTTATAAAAAAATACATAGTTTAAAGGCCTTGTAATGCATTTCGCAGAGTTCCCCAAAAGGCTTGTATCAATTCTTAATATCCAAGATATTTGAGGGCGCTATTTTTACTAGAGTTGTGCAAACTTGATGATTATGTTTAAAATCATTAATGTTACAGGCAAAAGTAGTAAACTTTCGCATAGTGTCTGACTATAAGCTCAGTTAATATTATTATTTTCATTATCATCAAGTACACTTTTTCTTGTTATTAAGACGTTCATTTTTAACATTGAACGTTTTAATCCATCTGAAATGTATTTTAATGTTCATCCAACTTAAATTTGTTTTAAAGCACTTTGTGAGTTAATGATCTCACTTTTTAATTCTTCCAAAGAGTCGTTATTTAATGCCTTTGATTACAAAGGAAACTTGGTTATATAGAGCATAGCTCCAAGCCAGACTGCTTGGGTTTGAATTCTGGCTCTTCTATTACTCAACTGTAATTTGGGGAAGATTAGTCAAGGAGAATAATAATACCTACCTCACAGAGTTATACAGACTTAAATAAGTAATATAAAGCCCTTCAACCAGTGCTGACATATAAATGATGCTTCATAAGAATTTGTTGTTGTCATTATTCTTTATTGACTAAGTCATTTTTTCAACATAGTAGGAAATACCAACTTCTGTCTCTAGAATTTTTTTAAGCTCCCTTGATCTGCCTTCTATCAGAACCATGTTTTCATGATTATAACTTCATAGTCCTGCTATTAATCTTCTAAAAATTTATTCAACATTTTCTGTCTGAGATCGACTTCAGAATAAATTTGTTCCAATAATACCTCTGATTCTGATTAGGATTATATTCTACTTGTAGATTAATTTAGGGAAAATTGACAACTTCAGTTATGATACTGTCTTCTGACAGGAAGAGGATATTTCTCTCCATCTAGGAATGTCCTCATGTTTCTCACTAAACTTTTGAAGTAGTCCTCATGTAGGTACTTATTAAGTTTGATGAAAAATACTTTATATTTTCATTGTCAATGTGTCTAACATATTTTATTCCTTTACATAGGCTATCTAGTTACTACTGGTACTTATAAAAGCTGTTATTTTTATAAATTTATTTTATAATACCCCAGTTCTAACAGGTATTCATTTCACTTGAGTTTTTGAGGTAGATTATTTCATATAGAAATAATTTATATTAAATTTATAAGACTTTTCTGATGTTTAGATTTGAACTTTGTGGTTAATCAAAATATGTTGTTTTCTTTCTTCTTCTAATTGCTTCCAAGCATAGAATTCACCCACATTCATAGAACTCATAAACATTTCGTTATAATTTCCTCAAGTTTTATTTTGTAGTTTTAATGTTTTATGTATAATTCTTGGAATTAACTAGAAGTTATTCTGATTAATAGCATTAAATGAGTATGTAAAAGAATTCTACTGGGAAAAACTAACAGTAATATTTTCTCCATGAGAAATGTTCCACTTTCCCACTGATAAAAAATTCTTCCCTCATATATAATCAACTATAGAGTTTATTTCATTGATCTATTTTCTTAAATAGGGGCAAAATAGAATCTACATTATTATAGATTTTTGTCATGTTTCCATATGTGGGTTGGCTAGATTTTCTCTAAACTTTTATAGTAATTCCTTTTATATTTTCCCCTGTTTAGTCTTCCCATTGTGCTTTAGAATTATTTTAAGTTAAACAAATTCTATGAGAACTTCAAGTTATATTACATTAATCATATGAACTATTAGGAAGAATTTATATCTTTATTGATCTTACCATACAGAAATACTGTTTTTCCATATTTATTTAAATTTTTATTATATTTATCAGTAATAGTTCATAATTATTCAATAGGTATTGCACATTTCATGTTAAGATTGTTCTTGTATTTTATGTGTACATGGTTTGTAAAAAGTGAGTATTAAAAATTAAGGATTTTCATTTATTCTTTTGTTAAATTTCATTTCCTTAGAATGCAAAAATAGTAACTATAAAGACATAAAAAGGCATATAAAGTACAAGAACTGTAAATGTGACATACCAGGTGATGGAGATATATATTCATCTACAAATTTATTTTCAGCAAGATTGCCTTTTATTTCAGTCCTTTTTAACAGTGTTTCAAAGTGAAAATGAAGAGGCACATCTGGAAAAATAAAGTAAAAAAGGTATTTTCAAATACCACTCTTTGTAATACTTGGATTACAGATTGTAACATTAAAATTGCTTTCTTTCTGTAAATAGCACATAAGCTTAAGAAAATAAGCAAAAGTTTGAAATGTAACAACTATCAGAATTGACAGAATACTCTTTCCAAGCATGTTGGTAGCAGTATTTTAGAAATTACTGGTTAGGTGCACTTAATCAACAAATTAAAAAGCTAACAGAGAAACAACTTCATGAACTTCCTGAAATAGTACATAAGATGAACAGTACTTCTAAATATTAATAAATACTATTCACAGATGAATGGAAACAAATATACCCAAGAAGTCTTTAAGAAAACCTACACCTGCTAAATCCATTCCCATCCCATCCCTACAAACTTTGCATTTGAAATAATGAAATTTCCAAAAAATTACATACTTTTAACTTCTTGGGAGAAAACCACTATAAGTCAGATGCAACCTTTTATGAAAACATCAAAGTTCACATTCCCTTATTTTACTATATTATATATCACAATGAATCTACTTTTATAAAGATTAAAACCTGTTGACAACCTAGTTTTGTTTCTAAATAGAGGCTTGGAGACTTTCAATTCACTATGTTTGTATTCTGTACTCTCACAACCAAAGAGGAGTTAAGCAATGTAGTAGTTATGCTTCACATTTACTAAAGGTTTTTTCTTTCAACCAAGAATGAAAAAACAAAATCATCTTAAAAAGTATTTATTAAGAGACACTTAACTTTTCCTTGAGAACATATTTTATAACTCAGTTAATAATGAAAATTTGGCTATTGAAAGAAGGTACTGTAAGGAAACTTAATTTGAATACATAAATGAAGATAGACCCAGGAAGGGCCTGGATTTTATTTTTTATTTGTTTTATTCTTGAGACAGGGGCTGGCTCTGTTGCCCAGGCTGGAGTGCAGTAGCATGATTCTGGCCCACTACATTCTCAACCTCCTGGGCTCAAGCAGTCCTCCCACCTCAGCCTCTCAAGTAGCTGAGACTACAGGTGCACACCTCCATGCCTGGCTAATTAAAAAAAATTTTTTTCTTTAGAGACAAAGTCTTACTGTGTTCCCAGTCTGATCTTGAATTCTTGAGCTCAAGCAATCCTCCCACCTCAGCCTCCCAAAGGGTTGGGATTACAGGCATGAACCACTGTGCCCACCTGGCTGGGTCTGGATTTTAAACAGAAAAAAATTCTCTCTTCTTCAAAGGATGTATCTTAGTGGCAGATCCATACTCAAGTGTGGGAAAATATGCAAAACAAAAATTAGTTGATGAGTATCATCATGGAATTTGTTCCAAGGGACAGATGTAAGATGAGTTTGAATCTTGGTATTATGATCATATGAAAATTAGGTGACAAAATGAAAATGGGAATAAAAATTAAATATTCTTCTTTAAAATGCTCCTTAAACATTTCAGGATTCTGATATTTTCCAATTACCTAAACATAAGTTTGTTGCATTTGTTTCTCCAAAGCAATATTATAAGGAGAGTATCACCAATTCTACCACTGTTCTTTGTGATTTGTGCGAAAACATGATTTAACAAGAAAAGGTCGTTGTTCCGTCTATATTCCTTTCTTAATACCCACACGTGACCTGTCAGCTTTTGTAAAACTATTTCATTGCCTTTTATTGTACTTATTAGTTTACCTTTCAGTTGTTTTAAACTAGAATGCAAGTACCTTGAGGGATTTATTTGTATTTATACTCCTAGCATTTATTTAGTACTTACATATAGTAAGTATTGAGATTTTTATTCAATGTAAGAAGGAATGGATATAACGAAATAGTAGATAAACAATCTAATCTTATTTATTAGGGGGGGCATAAGAGTCTTAGGATAAGGAGTATTTATGCCAGCTCTCAGGGTTATGTCAGAGAAATATATTTGCTAATAAGAAAACAGGCAGTAAAGTAATGGTGAGGAGTTTGGTTCTGGAGAATGGCTACCTCAAATCCTGGCTCATCATTTATTAGCCAAGTAATCTTGGATGAGTAATATCATGAAGCTTAGTTTTCTCATATGTCAGATGAGCAGAACAAAAATATCTATTCTCATGCAGTTGTGAGAATTAAACAAGAAAATGTAATGTGCTTAATATATACATGGCTCAGTATGTGCTAATACTAAATATTAGCTACATTATTATTGTTATATGGATTATTTCATCATATTATTAAGGTTTCCTTAAATATAGACTAAAACAGTTCTTGTTAGAAACTTAAATCAAGGTAATGGTGTAGCTAAGAAGCCACGCTACTACTGATAAAAACTAAATTGAGATTCAGGGCAGGGGGACAGGTTCAAAACACAGAGCTTTACAAATAGGATCAGTCCCTTGATTTTGAGAATTTAAAAGACCATTAGAACTGTAAGCAGAAAATGGAACAAAAGCCAAGCTGAGATATCCCCTAATAAAGAGAAGAACCTGAGATAACCAATGTGAGGGATATTTTCTTTCTCCCCTAAATATTTACTTTAGTTCCAATATAGACAAGAGTGTAAAAGGTTCCACAAAAATCAAGAACTGAAAATTGAAAACCACCTAGAGTAATCCTAGCATTTTTGGGAGGTTGAGGTGGGAGGATCACTTGAGGCTAGAAGTTCAAGACCAGCCTGGGCAATATAGTGAGACCCCATCTCTACAAAAAAATTAAAAAATTAGCTGGGTGTGGTGTCATGCACCCAAGTAGTTCCAGCTACTTGAGAGGCTGAGGTGGGAGGATTGCTTGAGCCCAGGAGGTCAAGGCTGCAGTGAGCTATGATCATGCCACTGTACTCCAGCCTGGGCAACAGTAGCAAGACCCTGTCTCAAAATAAATAAATAAATAAATAAATAAAATAATAAACACTTTAGAGATGTAAGGATGTATAAGCCTCATTTACTCAGTTATAGAATACTGATACTCTTGAGGTTGACTATACTTATAGGTATGCAGTTTTCCCTCTGCATTGAGAAATTCAATGCAGATTATAAATGGAGAAATATTTTATGGCAGGGAAACCTCCATGTATAACAGTACATTAGAAAAAGAACACTGAATTACGGTTACTCAGAAACATTTCAACAGCACAGCTGTGTTGCCAATAAAATGCTCAAAATTTAACAAGATAAAAACCTAGTTATTTCCCAAAGTAAATCAAGTTCGTTTAGAAGGAATTAAAGAATCAACTTACACAGATAGAACATTAACAGTGCATGTGACTAGATTAATTCCTCTATAACAAATTTAGTTCTCAAGGCATTGCTTAGTTCTAATATCTACTGAAAAAAATTGATAAAATAAGATTATATTAGATTCTCTGTATCTAGAGGATTAGATTTCAGTATAGAAAATATCGTTACTTAGAAGTTGTTACAAGGAGGCTTACCTGATGGCAATGATAGAACAGAATGGAAAGAGGAATCTAACTCTGATACATGGTCTCTTAATAGGTAAGACTCTGAATTGCGTTCATAGCTACTCCAAGTTGAAGCTGATTGCAGGCAAGGCATTTGGGTAGTGTTTAAAAATGTTTCTTTTGAAGGCAAAGTCTGCAAGGAAAAACCATATTAGAATATCACAGCAAAAGCATCCATAAATAATAGCATATCTCTACATTTATTTAGGTTATCTTTAAAATTTTCCAATTCTAGAGAAGTTTTACAAATATTTTGCTAGATGTATTCCTAATTAACTTTAATATTTATTCAATCATAAAAGGGATTTAAAAATACAATTAACTTTTATATATTGAAGTATTCTACAACTTTGCTATAAACTTTCTTTTTCTAATAATATATAGCTTCTTCTAGTCTTTGATTATCTAAACATACTAGCTGGAAATAATAACAGTGTAAGTTTTTTTCTTTCGATCCTACTAGTTTTATTTTTAGGGAGTTCCAACCATGCTGGATGGGTTCACCAATTTAATGAATAAAAATGATCAAGGGAGACATTTGTGTTTTGTTCCTGATGGAAATGGGAATGCCTTTAATTTATCAGAATAAGAATGCTATGAATTGCAGGTTTTTTTGTTTTTTTGGTATGGTTCTTTATCAGAATATATACCTAGCTTGCCAAAAGAACTTGAAAAGAATATGTTAATATTGAATTTAATCATATGCTTTTTCTGAACCTAATAAAATGATAACACGACTTTACTCTATTAAAGTGACAAATTGCATTAACAGATTGTATTTTTTATTTTATTTTCTTTTTGAGACAGAGTCTCGCTCTGTTGCTCAGACTAGAGTGCAGTGGCAGGATTTTGGCTCACTGCAACCTCTGCCTCCTGGATTCAAGTGATTCTCCTGCCTCAGCCTCCTGAGTAGCTGGGATTACAGGCACACACCACCGTGCCCAGCTACTTTTTGTATTTTTAGTGGAGACAAGGCTTCACCAGTTGGCCAGGCTCGTCTCGAACTCCTGACCTCAAGTGATCCAGCCTGCCTCAGTCTCACAAAGTACTGGGATTACAGGTGTGAGTCACCCCACCCGGCCACATTAACCGAGTTTTAAAATGTCAAACCAAAGTAAGATTATTCTTGAAGAATCCTGCTAGGAGTTTATCAAGTTTGTTAACCTCTTCAAGGAGCCAGTAACTGGACTTGTTCACTTTCTATATTGTATGCATGTTTTATATTTCATTGATTCCTACTTTAAGAGTAATCAAATATTTTCTTAAATGTTTCCCATCTCTTAATTTTTTTTCATTCTTTTACTTTATTTTAGTGGTTTCCATTGAGATTACAATGTGCATCCTTAGCCAGTTGGCTTTACAGTATAATACAAATTAATTCCTTTTACCATTTCCCTGAAAATACTAGGACATTAGAACTCCATTTACTCTCATGTTTTTGCATTATCATTGTTAGGTATTTGAATTCTACATATATTTATGACCCCACAATATACTGCTGCTATTGTTTGTATCATCAACATTCATGCATACCACCCATATATTTATGTTGTCTCATTGCTTGTAGCGCCTTCGTACAATTCCCTACTTCCATGTGGGATCATATTCTCCCTTTGCTATTATCATAGTGTAGGTTTGCTTTCTCTGAATTCTCTCAGTTTTTACTTGTCTGAAATATTTGCATCTTACCATTTTTAATATTTTTGTGGATACAGAATTCTGGGTTGGCTTTTTTTTTTCCCAGTACTTTAAGGATACTTTCATTCTTCTGGTTCTCATTATTTCTGGTGATTAGTTAGCTATAGGTTTTATTATTGCCCCCATTTGAAAGTAATGTGCCTTTTTTGCTCTGGCTGCTTTTAATATTTTCTCTGTGTCTCTACTTTTTTAGCAGGCCTTACCATAAGATTTCTGTCTTGGTCCATTCAGACTGCTATAACAAAATACCATAGACTAGGTAAATAATAGAAATTGACTTCTCACAGTTCTGGGGACTAAAAAGTACTAGATCAAAGTGCTGGCAGATTTAGTGTCTGACAAGGGTCTACTTTCTCACTGATAGATGGCTGTAACCTCACATGATGGAAGGAAGAGCTTTCTGGGGTTTCTTTTATAAGGGCACTAATTCCATTAATGACTTCATGACCTAATAACTTCCCAAAGGCCCTATCCAAATAACATCACATTGGAAATTAGGTTTCTACATACGAGTTTTGGGGGAGACACATTCAGTCTATAGCATTGCACTCAAGCCCCCCAAAATACACGTCCTTCTCACATGCGGTATATTTCATTCCATCCCAGCAGCCCAAAAATCTTAACTCATTCCAGCCTCAACTGAAAAATCCAAAGTCCAGAATCTCATCTAAATATCATCTAAATCAGATATGGGTGAGACTCAAGGTATACAATTCATCCTAAGGCAGATTGCTTTCCAACTGTGAACCTCTAAAACCAACATGTTATATGCTTCCAAAATACTACAGTGGGAAAGGCATAGGATAGATATTCCTATTCCAAAATAAAGGAATAGGAAAGAAGAAAGAAATGACAGGTTCTGAGCAAACCAACCCAACAGGGAAAATTCCATTAAACCTGAAGGTTCCAGAATAACCTTCTGCTTGATGTTCTGCCTTCCAGACTCAGTAGGCTATGGTCCCATCTCCACAGCTATTGGCTGGAGTCCCAAGTTTGTGGCTCTTCCAGGTGGTTATTCTGCCTCTGTCATTCAAGCTAACTTGGGGTCAGGGGCCTGTGGCTCTCCTAGGCTAGAATCATGCACCAGTGGCTTTGCCACGCATAGCCTAAGCCATGGCTCCCTAAGTGTTGGCAGAGACTGTAGACGCCACCAAAATCTACCACCTGTGCTGCCTACAGGTTTGGCCATCACGGCCTACACTATACCAGGCCCACCAGAGCCACACTTTAGAGAAGCCAGTGGTGGGGAGCAGAACCCATAATGTAAGGTTCTATTGGGCAGTGCATGCTGAGGTCTCACAGGCTCAGGTGGCTCCATATTTGAAACTTCTTTGCTCCAAGGGACTTTGCATTCTGGTCCTGTGCTGGGAGGGGCAGCCTCCATTATCTCTATATTGCCTTCAGGGTCATTCTTCTATTGTCTTCTGTTGTCTTGGAGAATATCTCCTGGCTTCTGCAGAGAGGGCTGATCCATACTAATCTCTTTATCAAAAGGCCCCTTGGCCACACCCTTAGTGTTTTCTCCAAAGCTGGCTTTTTCTTTCTTTACAATATGAATAGGCTAAGACTTTTCCAAATCTTTAAGTTCTGCTTCCTTTTTGATTAACAATTCCTCTTGTAGTCATTTCTTCTGGCTTCTATCATAAGCGGTCAGAAGGAGGAACCAGGTCAGTCCTTCAGCAATTTTCTAAGAGATTTTTTCAGCCAAATAACCGATTTCATCGCTTGTGATTTCTACCTTCCACAAAACACTAGAACATGAATACAATTTCACCAAGCTCTTTGCCACTTTTTAACAAGGATTACTTTTCCTCGAGTTTCCAGTAACATGTTCCTCATTTCTATCTGAGGTTTTATCTGAATGGCCTTAACATCCATATGTCTACCAACATTCTGTTCAGGATTATTTAGGCATTCTCTAAGAAGATGGAGGCTTTCTCCAAAGTGCTCCTCTTTTCTTTCTGAGCCCTCATTAGAATCACTTTTAAAGATCCGGTCACAACAATATAGGTGTTTTCTAGCATGCACCTCAAAACTCTTCCAGCCTCTATCCATTACCCAGTTCCAGAGCTACTTCCACATTTTCAGGCATTCATTACAGCAGCACTCCCACTTCTCAGTACCAAAATCTGTGTTAGTCATGACTTTCCAGAAAAACAGAACTGAGAGAAAGAAAAAAATTTATGATAGGAATTGGCTCATGCAATTATGTAGGTCAAGAAGTCCCATCATCTGCCATCTGCAGGAAAACTGATAGTGTAACTCAGAATCGAAAGGCCTGAGAATCAGAGGAGCTAATGGTGTAAATGGTGTAAATCCCAGTCTGAGTTCAAATGCTTGAAAATCAGGAGACCAATGACCAATCAACTCCAAAGGCCTGAGAACCAGGAGTGCCAATGTCCAAGGGCAGGAGAAGATACACCAGCTCAAGCAGAGATGGCAAATTCAGCCTTTCTCCACCTTTTTGTTCTAGTCATCCCCTCAACAGATTGAATCATGGTCACTTGCATTGATGAAGATAATCTTTATTTAGCCTAAAAATTCAAATGCTAATCTCCTCTGGAAATACCCTCACATACACACACACAAATACTGTTTTACTACCTATCTGACCATCCCTTATCCCAGTCAAATTGACACATAAAATTAACCATCACATATGCCTTGATGTAATTTCCATGTATTTGTTCTCTTGGAGGTTCACAGGACTTCTTGAGTTTATGGGTAGATGACCTTTATTTGAGGGATATTATTTTTCAAATGTTACTTCTGCCTTATTCTTTCTCCTTTTTTCTAGGCTCCAATAACATATGGATTTTTTTTCATCTAGTCATACATTTCTCTATTTTTCTGTATTTTTTCTTTATCTCTGTGCTTCCATTTTAGTGTTTTCTATTAATTAATCTTTCAGTACACTAATTTTATCTTCTGCTCCACCTAATTTGTAGTTAAATTTATCTGGTGAGGCATTAATTCTTCATGTTGTATTTTCAGTTTGAGAATGTTTATATAATTCTTTTTTTAAAAAAGAATTCTAATTATCTGGTGAAATCATGTGTTTTCTTCTACCTGTTCTCTATTTTTTTTTTAACATACGAATTATATGAACACAATTTAGCCAAGCTCTTTGCCACTTTATAACAAGGAGCACTTTTCCTCTAGTTTCCAATAACATGTTCCTCATTTCCATCTGAGGTTTTATCAGAATGGCTTTAATGTCCGTATTTCTACTAACACTCTGTTCAGGATTATTTAGGCATTCTCTAAATAAAATGCATTTAAAGGCATTCCTTTTAAATAATCATTTAAAAGTTTTTGCCAGCTAAATCTAGTATCAGACTCACTTGAGTATCTGTCTCTATTGTCTGTTTTCCTTTTGAATTTTGGTCATGTAGTTCTTTTCACCATGTCTACTAATCTTTGATTGAATGACAG